TGGCGTCTGTGTGTAGAACACAGGGTGGCCTATCGTTCTGCAAACAGCTGTCAAGGGCTTGGCCGGTTTGAATTACGCTGAGGGACGCCGTGGAGCAAATATAGCGAGAATAGTGAATGCCATCGACGTCCCAACTCAACCAAGGCGCGAGGCCGCGGCCGCAGCCCGAGGATGGCGCCGAGAAATCCGCCGAGAATCTTATCTTATCTTATCGCTCTCGACAAGAGCCAGCGTCAACTCTTGAAGTGATTGTCGGCGACGCGCTAAAGGATGATAATCTACAACAAAATGATATAGCAAGATGACAGGGTACAGACAACAGTTTGGCAGGCGAGTCCGTCAGCGGATATGAGAGGAGACTAACCGACTGGCAGTCAGCAAAACGTAGAAACGATGTTGTTGGAACGTTGGTCATATGCAGGGCATAAAGGTCATAAGGTGGCACGAGATGGTAGAGAGTGTGGTAAGGAGTGTGAAGCCAAAGTGTGTGTGTGTGTGTGTGATCTGTCATCAAGTGGTAGAAAGTCTGTAGTAAAGGGGAGAAAAAGAAGATGCTGAAGTCTACTGCAAGCTAGACTTGGCCAGAAGACCAGTGAGAGTAGAGGCGACCAGGCGCACGGCCTTGACAATGATCTCACGTTGATGCATCGGCGCGACGCACAGGTGAGACGCGATGAAGTTGTCCGGGTTCCAGTGCAGAAGTTCCCTGCGGATGCGCTGACGCGAGCTCATACCCTCGAGACCACGGCGGGCGTCGTTGAGCACGAAGCTCGCGATGGCGGCTTCGAAACGCTCGGCAAAGCCATCTTCCTCCATGCTACCGAGAAGACGGATGTCGTCCTGCAAGAAGGGCCAGGGAAGCGAGTCCGCGTCCCAAGTGACATCGATGACAGCGTTGGCCTCGAGCATTGCCCACCTCCACTCGTACACGGCGTACTGACGAAGGACGGGATCCGGCTCGTTGTTCAAGCACAAGGACATGTCGTAGAGGGCACCGGCAACCTCGTCCGCGTCGTAGCTCTTCTTCACGATCTCCGCGGCGCGGGCGAAGGCCTCGGCGTTGGCGTTGGCGGCATCGGCGGCGACGGGCTCCTCAGCGGCGCGGCGGGCGACCACGCGATCAAGGGCTTGCGAAAGGCGACGCTTCCAGTACTGGCCACCCTCGAGCTCGAGCTGCTTCTCCTCGGCTTCAGGAATGCGGCGCGAAATATTGCTGGTCAGCTCCTCCTCCCCCGTGCGATCATCTTCGAGCATGGGGTGCTGCTCGAAAGCGGCGGCCTCGCGCTGAGTCTGGAGGTACTTCTGGCGTTCCTGGTCCTCGAGCATCTCGTTATGCTCCCGCAGCGCCTTGGCACATTCACGTTCGCGCTCGGCATAGCGTTCAGCACGCTCGGGATCATCAAACGAGGGATCGACCGCGGCTTTGAAGAAGGAGTCGAGAGAGTTATCGAGGGGCACGCCGTCGATGGAGTCGTTGAGGCGAACGCCGTCGATGAGGTCCTCGACCATCTCCTTTTCGGACAAGTACGATTCGGTCCACGCGCCGAGCTGCCTAGGCTTACGGTGCGTCCAGCCCAGGGCCTCCTTCTTGCGCCTGGTGTCCTCAAGCAGCTCCTGCCAGTGGAGTTCATACTCGGCCTTGGCCTCGGGTGAAGCAGCCGCCTTCGCCTGTTCCTCCTGATACGCGGCAGCCACTGCGCGTTGCGGGTTGGGAGGACGTGATTCGTTCCACTCGAGCGCGCGGAGGAACTTCACGCGTTCTTCGAAGAGGAGACGGGTGAACTTTGCTTGCTTAATTTCCCTGGCGCGGGACTTGGCTGCATTGGCGACAACAGTCCGGAAAGAGAGAGCGAAGGGAAGAGGGGGGCCAGTGTATCCGACGAAGGTGGACTCGCGCTTGATAGATGGTGCGCGGCGTTTGGTCTTGGGGTATGCACCAGGCATAGCGAGGACGCTGCTCTCGGCGCGGGAGAGGTGGCGAGTGGTTGTCGCCGCCGGGGCGACGGTGGCCTTTTTCTCCGAGGAGAACCAGAGCATCGTTGAAGTGGTGTGTGGTCTAGTTAGCAAGAGCCGTCGATGAGCGACGACGAAGACGAAAAAGCGAGCGGATAAACCTACTGGTGTTGAACTTGAGGAAAGGAGGCCGACAAGAAAGGGTGGGTGTAACGTCGCAGACGTTGGGAGATGAGAGCGAGAGTCAAGGTGGTGGTTAGGTGAGAGTCAGGGTGGACACGGGAAGGACATTTTATATACCGTGGTTCAGAGACAACCACAGCGGAGTTTGCGCCGAGATCCAGCGACGCGGCTCGGGAAAAAATCTGCCTGCAGGCGGTGGTTGAGCTGCGAGAGTATATTATCAGGCGGATGATGATCGATATGGAAGGATGAGCCAGTAGGCCGGGGTGGGCGTATGGCTGGATGTGCACCTCGTGCTGACGGGGTTGATAGACGAGCAGGAATGCCATCGTCCTTCATCTCCTCCTCTCGTGAAGGGTCTCGCGGTCGTCTAAGTATGTCTCTAGTGGATGACGACGCGCTGCACGCCTTCTTCATGCCGTGTTCTGCATTGACCGGTGGATGTTCGTCTCCGGTCTGTCGTCGTCTTCACAGGGCGATCCCTCAAGCGTCCTCGCTGATCGACGCGATAAGCACAATGCGAAGCCTTCACGCTCGGGCGGCGGACATACCTTCACTCATACCTCGTGGACCACGCTGCGTGTCTATTGTCTTCTCCCTCTGGACCTGGTGGCGTTTTCGGATACGTATCTTGGAGCTGATCACACTATACACACCTATTTGCCCTCGCGAGCTCGATGAACGAAACAATGGTCACAATGATCGCGACGCTGGCTATCGATGGTCTTCATTGTTGGCCGCATTCTGTATAGCTCTTAAGGACGGATTGAAAGCTTGTGATATCCGTACGTACTCAGGTGTCATTCTTGGGCTTCATTGTTCCCCATTGTTGCAATGATGCGGTACTATGCGATCTCCTCTGGACTCTTGTTTGGGGATAATGCTCGACTGCGCTGGACGAACACCATCAGTCTCACCCGCTAACCCGGACACACAAAACAATACACCCACCTCCAACTCAATCGCCACTTGCTCGCAAGAGAATGGACGTGGTCCTCGTGGTCCCAAGACAATGCGCTTTGCCTCGTGTTCGCACCTCACAAAGGTCATCGTCCACAACGCCACTTGATTCTGGCTTTGTGGGCTCGTTGGGCTCGGTGGCACGCGAGTCCTGGCTGAGTATAAGAGCTGAATGGGAGGGAGGTCAGAGTCTTTCATCCTGCAAGCCACTTTCGACAGTGCACCCACCCCGATCGTCTCAACGTTCATCGACACCGTTCAAGCCACCAAGTCAACCATGCGTTACTCTCTCCGCAACACCGCTGCTCGTCAGGAGCGTCGCCGGCGCACTGGACAGGAGGAGACCACTCCTCAGCCTCAGCTTGCGCCTCAGCCTCAGCTCGCGCCTCAGACTGTGCCCGTGCACGTCGTATTGGCGCCGCCCGTTACGGTCTCTACTACTCCGGCTTCCGCGGCAATCAGCAACTTCGCCGCGCAACTCAACAACCTCGACATGGCCATGCCCGCGACTCCGCACGGTACATCGTCCATCTACCTCCGCACCCCGAGGGCTCCCCGCAAGACCGGGATCTGGAAACAATATCCCATTATCCAGCCGGGCGACAACAGCAACAACGGCTCTTCCTCCCACGGCTCGCCCACACCGACTCCTACTCCCGGTCCCTCGACCCAGCGCCGTCGTGTGAACATCACGACGGAGTATAGCGCTTCGCGGGACGCGGCGGCGCGCGAGGCGAAGTTGAGGCATGGACACAAGGCGCAGTTGGCTGAGGTTCGCAGGAAGAAGGACGAGTATAAGAACGAGGCGCTTGAGGCGAAGCGGAGGATCGCAGAGTTGGAGGCCGAGGTGGCTTATTATCGCGGTCGCTACGACGGCCCAGAGGAGGGCTCGTCGCGCGAGGCAGGCCCGTCGACGCGCCCGATGCGTCTTGGACCGAACGGGACGGAGGTCATCGATATCGAGACTGTGTGGCTGCGGGAGGCGGCCGTTGGGCCAAATGGGACGGAGTTGTTCAACGAGGATGGACGGAGGGTGTTCTTGAAGAAGCAGAAGGCGCTCGTGGGCGACTTTTGGAGGACGCAGAAGGAGCTCAGGGACTGAGCAGTAGGTCAGTGGAGGAGGTATGCGAGCGGGCTCGAAGCGTACCTCGGGTTATGCTACAAGGACACTCGCAGACTGGAGACTGATATGACTGAAGATTATGTTGTATGCCTGTATGCTTAGTAGTATCTGGATATGCTATTCCCTTTTCTCTTCCATCAAACGAGTGCCACTCGCACTCATACAGGATTGATGCGGTGTCAAGTTGGGCATGGAAGGACGCAAATCATAGCAAAAGCAGATATATTGTCCGGCTCCCTCAGTTGCGTACACCATATGGAGATAAACTTGACCGCTGGCAGCGAGGAGAAGGTCGGGAGCGGAAGCAAGGAACTTGCCGGCGGCGGGCCCGGAGTCGCGGGAATCACGCTCAATTGTCTTTCACGGCAGCCACCTCGCCTTACGCGTGTGGGGCAGCTCGTACCTTCCCCTCATACCCTGACCATGGTCTCTCCGCCAAAACCCTGGGAGCGTAACGGCGCGCTGGCCGCCGCCTCTTCCTCGCTGCCTACTCCATCTTCGGCTGCACCGGCGCCGGCACCGGCAACTGCCGCCCCGGCTGCCACATCCAACCCCACAACTGCGACGGCTTCATCGTCGTCTGCGCCCGCTGTTCCTACAAGACCAGCCGCGTTCGGCGCAACACAACCAACAAATGCACTTGCTACAACTGCCTACTCGCCCTACAACTCGTTCGGCACTGGATATTCCCCATATCAATCATCAATGTACGGCGGTGGAATGGGATATGGTGGCTACGGTGGCTATGGTGGCATGGGGGGTGGGATGTACGGTGGAGGAATGGGATATGGTGGATATGGAGGGATGGGGATGGGCGGGATGTACGGCCGACCGGGGATGATGGACCCGAACAATCCCTCGCTCACCCAGACGCTCGAGACCACAACCCAAACGACATTCGCATTACTGCATTCGGTCGTCCAAACATTCGCAGGCATGGCGCAGATGCTCGAATCAACATTCATGGCCACGCACTCTTCATTCTTCGCTCTCGCTGGAGTAGTCGATCAGTTCGCACAACTACGCAACGCACTGGGCGGAGTGTTGGGCTTGTTCGGGCTCGTGAGGTGGCTGAAGGATCTGTTGACGGGCCGCAACGGCGCGGGCGCGATGCGCGGCGAGTTCAGGGACTTTGTCAACGGACGACCAGTCCAGGGTCCCCCGCCCAACCCGGCACAGCCCAAAGCGAGCCGTAAACCTATCATCATATTCTTCCTCGCCATCTTTGGTATTCCCTACGCAATGCACAAGCTCGTCCGGCTTCTCGCCGAACGCCAACCCGCTCCCCTTCCCCCGCTCGACCCGTCCCAGCTCACATTCGCCAGGGCGAAGTATCCGTTCACGAGCTCCTCGGCGCACGAGTTGCAGCTGGCGGAGAACGAGATTGTCGCGATCATGGGCAAGCTGAATCCCATAACGGGCCAGGAGGTCGATCCGAGGCACGAAATTGAGACGGAGTGGTGGAAGGGCAGGACGAGGGAGGGGAGGGAGGGTTGGTTCCCGAGGAGCTTTGTTGAGGTGCTGGAGAGGAAGACGAAGGCCGTCGATCAGCCTGCTCAGCACCAAGTGCAGCTACCTGTTGAACCGAAGAAGATCGATTAAGCGCCTCGTCTGTATTGACTTCAGTCCTCTTTTGTCCGGTCATTTCATATCCTTATAGTTTCGTTCGTCGTATCTGTTCTGTCTTTGCTGATTCATCTTCTGTATCGTCCAGCGTTACCTTCCGCCTATGCATACTCACTCTTTGACTTCACTTACTCATCCCGCTGCGATGTCAGACAAAAAGCTCGAACTGCCCGTCGGCGACGCTGCCTCCGCCGTCGACGATACCTCCGCCCCCGTCGTGACAACCGTTTGTCTTTCTTCTACTTCGACAATGCACCCGGATAATTCGACGACCACGGCGCCGATACGTATTGTCCTCATTATGCTGGAGGTCTCAGATGTGGTAATGTGGTCTATGTTTCTTCGCTATAAGTCGACGGCAGACGCGTATCTTGGACTTCATCACCAAGCCCTCCCACTCATACCCTCAGACAATGAGCTCCTACTCTTCGGCATCAAGCGAAACCTCTACGCGTACCCGGGCAGGGCTGGTCCCCGCCACACAGACACCATCGCCGAACAACCTCAGTCCACTCGACACCTCCAAGTTCAGACCCGATATGACGAAGGAGGAATACGACGCCGAGTGCGTCCGCCAGCGACCGCCGCCTGTCGTCGAGAGCGCAGGGACAGAGAAGGTCAACCCGCGTGCAGGTGGTGACTATTATACCGCGTCCGTATTGAGGCGTGGGGGGACATCGTCGCAGGCTTCGACGTGCGCGCCCTTGCATACGGCTCCTACATACCTTGGGTACCCGTACCGAATTACGACCCCTTCGAACTACGCGCCCTCGACCTACGCCCCTTTGGGTGAGACGTACGCCCCTTTACACACGGCCCCGACGTACAGCCTCCCCATGTCGGCTGGGAATGTCTGGCCGGTGTATCCTTCGACCAGCACGCGCGATGCTCCGCCTGAGTACTCCTCGGTGGATGATTTGTCGCTTACACGACAGGAGACGGGGTATTCTTCGCCAAGCAGAGCCGGCGCGACTCCTCCCCAGTATTACGACAAGAATGTGCGGGACAGTATCACGGGCTCTCCGGCGCCCCAGGGACGTGTGCCGTCGTCGTCGTCGTCGTCGTATGGCAGCTCTTCGCGGGAAACGTACATCGACTCGCAAGGGCGCGAGAGGTCGTACCCCCCGCCGCTGACCAGCGCGATGTACAAAGAGGCTATGCAATTCGGGTTTTCTCAATACCTGTCCCCTCTTTACGGCGGATCGTCTCTCCTGGACTCAGAACTAACGCTCTTGGACTCTATCACTACGCCGCCGGGAACAGGGACTGCGGGTGCTGTTTCGAATGAAGAGCAACAGCGGAGGTTGAGGAGGTTGCTTGAGGATCCGAAGAAGTGACCGGATATTAGATATTATAGTGATACCCGATGAGAGGGCTCGATTGTGTAGTGTAGTGTGCGGGACATGCTACTGGGTGTATGCGTATGATCAATTGTGTGCATCATGAGTATCGATATCATTGTCAAGCCTGAGCCGAATGAGTTGGCAGAAAAGATGGGAAAATGCGCGGGCCCGCGTGGGCCGATTTCATGAGCGGCCGTAGGCGCTCGCCACTTGCGTTGATCTCGACCACCATGTTGGTGCTGCTCTACGTTGACATTACACCCATCCAACGCTTCGCTACCTGACAATGTACTCCATTCTGGCTGCATGAATACATAGGACTTCGGCTACAAGAAGTGACGGCTGTGCAACGTTTGTCCTTTGACCTCTTGGGCACATCGCACCTCCTCTTTTGAAGGTAGCTTTTGTCAAAGCTATGACTGGCATAGCATGGATACCAACATATACGTATTCAGAATTGTCTCACAGGACAGTGATAAAGCGTTGCAAGGTCAACTGAATATAGGTATACTGCCTTGGACTACCAGCATTGTCCTGTATCCACGCGACGTGGGCGCTTCTGACTGCAACATAGCCTGGAGGTCAATGCGAACGCACGACCGCTCACAGACCACGACCACATGATTACTAAAGCACAAGAGCATTGACCTTCTGCTTCATGCATATAAAGCGCGGGCTACCGTGTCTCTAAACCTCAACGGGCACCACCCAGTTCCCCCTCCCCTCTCTTTCCTACCCACATCCGCCTTCAACGAGCATGAGCTCCATATCCTCTGCGGGCCCGTACGGCTATCAACCGTCCATTAATAGCGCGCGGGAATCGCTGGCTATGAACGAGTGGGCCCGTAGCGGGACGATGCCGTCTAGGTCGAACTCCCTTCACTCTCGTGGTTCCTCGGCTCGCAGCCAGCCGCGTAGTCGCTCTACGCACAGGCGTCCTCCTCTGGCGCCGTCCGCGTTCTCACACTACCCTCAATCGTCGCGCAGCTCGCAGAGGACGCCATCGTACTACTCGGACTCGTCCGTCGGGTCGAGTGTGTCACAGCGGACAGCTCGTCCGCCTCTTCCGCCCTCCTCGGTGTACGGACAGGTGCCGCAAGAAGAGTACAGCGGCTACCCGCAGTACCCGAGTTACGAGCCTAGCATCGCAAGCTATCAACCCAGCCTTGGATCGGGCTCGGAAAGGCAGCTCATCCAGCAGCGTCCAGGCTTCATCCCTGCGCATATGGTCGCTCCTTACGGCGACATGCCCATGCCCGCGCCGCAGATGCTAAGCCACGCTCCTTCGTCCATCGGGTATCCTGCGTCAGTCAAGTCTGCCAAGAAGGGCTTCATGGGCAACATCAAGAACCCGTTCAAAAGGAGGGACGATCTTGTCATGGAGCATAACACCCACATCATGCATTGGGACACGCCGCACTCGGCGGGTATGGCGGTTCACGTCTCGCATAAGATGAGGGGGAGGGGCCCGTATGGTAATATGCAGGCTTCCTTTTCTATGTCGTGTGTCTACGAAGGGTAGACGCGAAGTTGGCTGCTCGCTTGGCTGTTGGGGTTGGGATGGACATCTCACGGATCACAATTTGGGCTGTATTCTCGGAAAGGACTGAAGATTCGTCTGACGGGCACAAGGCTATCACTCTCTTTTGTCGTACATATTGCCTGACCCCTTGTGCTTATCTTGATGACTGAACTTTCTATGTGATCACCGTGTCACCGTGCCCAGTGAGACAGTAAAGTCGGTCAAATGAACGTTGTAGTACTCCGAGGATGCTTCTACTATCGAAGCGGGAGGGTATGGGTTCGTGACTAGTAGACGCTTGCCCAGCGCGGGGCAAAGCTCTAGACAGAGGCTAAGTGTTGAGTTGGCATGGCATCCAGATGTCCGCATATAAGCAATAGGGGAGTTCAGGGAGGCGGGAGGCGGATCCGGGGTCGGGTTTGGGGTCGGGTTTGAGAGCAAACCCGACGCAAATCCGTCTCTGGAGGCGGATTTGCACGCGAACCGCCGGTTTTCCGCGTCGAGTTGGCCTCCCGACTCGACCCCGCAACTCGACACCCTGAACTCCCCTGATGTATGTACGTAGATGGTCGAGTCCAACTCCGCGATTCGCGGTATCGAGCCAGATTCGGCATTTGCCGTCCCCGCTCTTGGCCCGGCACTCTCGGCCGCGGACCGTTGCCATCGACCACCATCTCTGATCCTCTCTCTCAAAACATCAAATACTTGTGCACATGGGCATGACTCGTTGTAATGCTTACAATCGATATGAACGAGAACCCTCATCTGAGCTATAATGATGTGAATGTCGATCCGGTTTGGTGATACAAGCCTATCTCCTGTCGCCTTCCCGAGTTCGTGCTTGACAACAGGAACGTCGACCGCCATCCGCGCTGCTTCTTTCAGCTGCTTCCCCCACATCATATTCCACGGTCATTATGGACATAGCTGGGCGTCATGCGGCCGCCAGCTCTCCAGGTTTTCCTTCGACCACCACCTTCGTCCTGCTTTCGTTCGCGCAGGCTGAGCCTCTTTTACCTTCCCCTGCGCTGTGCGCATTTGCACGTCTCCGCGACGGATCATGGTTGCCGGACAGCTGTTTGACCGCTCAACGCTCCTCTTCCGGGGTCAAGATGCGAGCGGTGGGATCACCATACGCGCGTTTGATGCGCGCGATGGTTTGGCGTCAACCGACCCGACGCACTTCGCCCACAGGAGCGACGCGTATCTCGCCTTTTGGTTCCTCTTCCAGATACTGGGCGGGCAGGTTCTGATGCTTGTTCTCATCGGGACCTTCCTCTTCACTCGCGCACGACGTCACTTGTCGTTGGTCAATCTGTGCGCCAGCTTTGTGTTGACGGGCATATGCTCATCTCTTCTGTACGTGTCCGATCCATCAGGCATGATGCATACATCTGACGCAACGTAGACTGTATGCGGGACAACTCAAGGGGCCTGAACCCAACCTCACCTTGTGCATATTTCAAGCCGCAGCAGCGAATGCGCTCCCACCTCTGTGGGTTCTCAGTTGCTCTTCCCATAATCACGCTGACTCTTTCTTTCCAGTTGGTCCACTGCGCTGCTTTTCTTTGTCTTCTACCTCCGAAAGTCCATCAACAATCCGGATGGCAAAGAACTTGAACGTCCCACCGTCTGGTCCTTCCTCGTACGCACAGTGCGACCACCAGATCGACACAGAATACTGATGTTTACTTTCAGGCAATCGTCCTCCCTTACGTGGTGTTCTTGATATATCTCCTTGTTGGATGCATAGTGAGTTCATCTTCTTAGAAGCCAAAGCCTGTCCCTAATGCCCCATAGCTCGGCTCATTGCAGCCTGAAAAGGTTACCCGGGACGATCGCGCTGTATACTGTGACAATAACAATGATGCCTTGTAAGTCTCTCTCCCTCTCGCAGCATTGCATTATACCAACTTCTGCCTAGCGATGTTGCATCAGCATCTTACTCGGCGCTGGCGGCTCTTGCGTCGCTGTCTCTCACCGCACCCCTGGCGCTGAACCTTATACGCGCTTATCCTTGGTTCCGCAAGATCCGCAACGCCACGGCTACACAGTGCCTCGCGCTACGACTCTGCGTGTTCCTTGTCTTCGTTGGCATAGGCATTGTGTATGAGAGTTTCCTTCGTGCTGTCAAGCGTCACGTGTGCTCAAGTTTGAATCAGATTCGCCGTCTGGAGTAACTTCGACGACGTGAACGCGAGCTCGAGGGATATGTACATAGCCATTAGTGCGTCTCTCTTCTTCCCCAAATGGGTTTTATGCTGACTGAAACCTTCTCCAGCGCCGGTTGCCATCTTCCTCGTCTTTGGTTCTCAGGCCGATGTTCTGAGCGTTTGGTGTTTCTGGAGACGCCGACCCGCCGAGCCTAAAGGGGACGAATGGTCCTCTCCCGACTACCCGACCCGTGTCCTAGACATCAGCAGGAAACTGTCATCCGAAAAAGGCCTGCCTGATCTGCCACGCTCGCCCCATTCATTCACATCAGGCTCCTCATAAGCCAAACGCTCGTTCATCGCTTTCCACTTGCACTGCTGATTATCTATGCCGTCACACCGCATAACTTATTCCCGTTCGCCTTGATGGCAAACAGCACACCATGTTGTATTCTTGTACAATGTAAAACAGTTCGTCGAACTCAATCTCCGCTAGCGACTGCCAAACCCGCCGCGAGGAACGTAGGGCTCCTCAAGATAATTGATGTCCTCGTCACTGAGCTTGACGTTCACGGAATGGATGAGCTCCTCGAGGTTTTTCAAGCTCGTAGAGCCAACAATCGGCGCGGTGCTCTTGGCCATGATCCATCCGAGCCCAACTTGCGCCATGCTCAAGTCGAGCTTCTTCGCGACTTCCTCAACGCGGGTCACGATGGCGTTCGTGGCACCGCCCTCGTACGTTTTCTGACCCGCATCCGTACTTGTGCGCGTCGTCGTGTGCGAAAGAGGATGTGTCACAACACCTCGCGCAAGCGGGGACCACGGGATGCAGGCTACTCCGAAGTGATCGAGCGTCGGGATCATCTCGCGTTCTTCTTCGCGATAAACTGCATGGCGTCTTAGTCGCATCCAGTTTATGTGTTGATGCTGAGTTCGCTTACCGAGGTTATAATGATTCTGCATGCTGATAAACGGTGTGAGTTTGTTGGCGATGGCATAGTTCTGCATGACGTGGACTAAATATCGTCAGCTTACCAATCATGTGCAGACGAACCAGCGATCCACGTACATTGCCAAGCGTGGCAGCTGCTCATTCCGAGGTATCGCACCTTGCCGCTCTTGACGACGTCGTGTAACGCTTGCATGGTTTCCTCGATAGGCGTATCGGGATCGAAACGGTGGCACTGAAGCACATCGATGTAGTCGAGCTGAAGGCGCCTCAACGAATGCTCGACCGCCTCGAATATGTGCTTCCGTGAGAGGCCATGTTGGTTCACATAGCCTTCTTGATCAACCTCCTCGGTGGTCCGGCGTTTGAGAAGTCCGCCATTCCTGCGCACCTCACCGAATAGCTTGCTATGGTCGGGTGAGTATACGACGACTAGCGGGCTAACAGCACTGCGAACACGCACGTCATAACGACAATCGCGTCTCGATTGAAGTTGAATTGCTTGATCGCTTTGCCCAGTATCTCCTCGCTCCGTCCGTCAGAGTATCTACGAGAGGTGAGCTCCGGAAGAGCACTCAGATTCTCACCAGCTTACACATTCGCAGTGTCGAATGCGTTGATGCCGTGGTCGTAGGCGTACTTGATATGCTCGAGCCCGGCCTCCTCTCCCAGCACCCATTCTTGCCACTCGGACGAACCATAGAAGCCGCAGCCCAGTATAATCTAGGGCCACAGTAGCGTTGAGGATCAGGATAGACTCGCACGTCCATCCACATGACTACAACTCACCTTCGATACCTTCAGCCCCGATTTCCCGAGACGGACTGCGTTAAGAACGTTCTCAGTACACATCCAGCAGACATGTCAAGTGCAGACGAACCATATGGCATATCGTTTCCTGGAGTACCGGTCATCGCGAAAAGTCCAGTTGGCTGATCATGAATTGGAAGATAGATATCCTTTCATAGCCTACGGTCAGGTGCGAAGTGAGCGATGTCGCAGTGTTGGTGACCCACTCGATGACCCGCGCCTTCTACTTAACCCAATAGGCATCATGTTACTCACAGCAACATGGTCAGTATGACCGAGTGTGCGCGGGAGATCTACCGTATCCGAACGAACGAAGCTCGGTGAACGGCAGTCAGCCCGGCGGCAAGAAGCCCATTTGATGTGTTCATGACAACTGATTACAGTTCGACCAGAGTAGGTTGGCGCGTTCAGAATCATAGGCGCCTAGTGAAGTTTGACACAGTCAGTAGCTATCACGTTAAGCATACCAGCAAGTGGGTCTGCTCGAACACTCCCCATGAATAGCATTAGAAGACGAGAATACAACAGCGAACTTACGCAGCCACTCTTCTCGGAACTCGCCGCCGCAAGGCTCGGGCCGTCGCTCCGAGGGCTAATCAGATAAGTTATGGTTTGCGATGCTGATATATTGATGTACAAAGGGCAGGCTTCAGGAGAAAGTGATACAGATTATGGCTTGATGGCACATGCTGGATGAAACATCGCGTTACCCTTTCAGCTATGGCCAAACAATCCGCGAGGAAGATACGGTTCCTCCAGAGCCTTGATGTCCTCCTCGCTCAGCTTGATGTTCACGGCACCGACGAGCTCGTCCAGGTTCTTCAAGCTCGTCGTCCCCACAATGGGAGCGTCGGCCTTCGCCATGACCCAAGCCAATGCAACCTGTGCCATACTCAAGCCCAGCTTCTTTGCGATCTCCTCGCATCGATTAACCACGGCTTCTGTCGCAGGTGCTCCGTAGCCATTCTGGAAGGGGTCCGTTTCTTTACGTTTGGTGTTTTGTGAGAGTGGATGCGTGAGGACCCCTCGGGCGAGCGGCGACCAGGGGATACACCCGACCTGGAAGTGTTTGAGCGTTGGCAGCATCTCTCGTTCCTCCTCTCGGTAGGCTGGATGAACTTCTCGTCAGCGAGCGGACAATACAACTAAGCGATTATGTCGTACCGAGATTGTAATGGTTCTGCATGCTGATGAACGGAGTCAGATTGTTCGCGATGGCGTAGTTCTGCATGATATTGACTTTGAACTCGTTAGCTGGCCGTCGGCAGAAGAGGTGATCGAACACTCACATTGCCACGCGTAACAGCTGCTCATGCCGATGTATCGTACTTTGCCGCTCTTCACGATGTCGTGAAGCGCCTGCATAGTCTCTTCGATCGGAGTCTCGTAGTCGAAGCGGTGACATTGAAACAGGTCGATGTAGTCGAGCTGAAGGCGTTTGAGGGAGTGCTCGACGCTTTCGAAGATGTGCTTGCGTGAGAGTCCATGTTGATTGACGTATCCCGCCTGGTCCAGCTCCGAAGAAGCCTGGCCAGCACCGCGCGTAGCTTGTTCGTGGCCACGGGCGACCACTCCAAACACCTTACTATGATCGGAACGGCTCGTCAATTTGCGTCATATATGTCCTGCGGCAGATACGCACGTCATAACGACAATCTCATCGCGATTGAAATTGAATTGCTTGATAGCCTTGCCCAATATCTCTTCGCTGCGCCCGTTGCTGTACATGTTGGCAGTGTCGAAGGCGTTGATGCCAAGATCGTACGCATGCTTGATGTGCTCCAGAGACGTCTGCTCATCAAGTACCCATCCTTGCCACTCCGGCGAACCATAGGACATGCACCCAAGGATGATCTACAGCGAGTTGTTGGTCAGTGTCGCGCACGCCTGTACGACACGACAGAAGGGAATCTCACCTTGGAGACCTTCAGCCCTGACTTGCCGATACAAACTGGGAGCGCTTCAGCGTTACATGCAGGTGGTAGGCACGGGCGACCATACCGTATGGCATATTCTTGCGCGTGACATCAGCCATTGTGAGATTGAGGATTTGGACAACTACGCTGGTCAAGCCTGCTCACCAGACTTTATAACTCCCGCATCCACCTCAGGTACCGATATGATCCACCGTTGTCCGTCCTCTCCAACTCTTGATGCTGCTGGCAAGGCTAACATAAACGAGGAGTTGAAGGTCTAGCCCCACCATTGACCTCGGAACTCCACTCCGCAAATCGTCACCACTACAGGTCAAAGACATATAGACAACCGTCAAAGAGCCCGGCAGTCCGATCCCCATCATCTCCATCATATGCCATCTGACGTAGGAGTACATCCCGGCAGGAGCCAAATGAACACAGACTTTCGGAATAGTTGATCAGTTGGATCGCCGGCTGCGCAAAGTGGTTGGTTTTACAATGACCTGTCATACGAGCACCGAGCGACAAACAAGGCTGTCAAGACAGTTGAGTTATTGTACACATGATGGTTTACACGTCGAAACATTCAAACGTGGCCGAAGACTCCACGAGGGGCATACGGCTCTTCGAGATACTTGATGTCCTCCTCACTAAGTTTGACGTTCACAGCACCGATGAGGTCCTCAAGATTCTTCAGGCTCGTCGTGCCCACGATCGGCGCATCAGTCTTCGCCATTACCCAGCCCAGCGCGACCTGCGCCATCGTGAGGTCGAGCTTCTTCGCGACTTCCTCGCAGCGTCCTACGATGGCTTCAGTGCCCGCAGCGCCGTAGCCTTTCACCCAGGCGTCCGTCCCACCACGTTTCGTGTCTTGCGAGAGCGGGCGCGTAAGTAGACCGCGCGCCAGCGGAGACCAGGGGATACACCCAACGCCAAAGTGGTTCAGGGTCGGCATCATCTCGCGCTCTTCCTCACGATAAACTGTAGAGTTGTCAATGAGCTTGTACTATGGAAAGCTCAAGGGCTCTCACCGAGATTGTAGTGGTTCTGCATCGTGATGAAAGGCGTGAGCTTGTTTGCGATGGCGTAGTTTTGCATGATATGGACTATGCGATATGAGCACACAAGCGCTAAGGGTAGACAGTCTGAGGACACGTACATTGCCAGGCGTGGCAGCTGCTCATGCCGATGTACCGAACCTTGCCGCTCTTGACGACGTCGTGCAGAGCCTGCATAGTTTCCTCGATTGGTGTGTCCGGATCAAACCGATGGCACTGCAAGAGGTCGACGTAGTCCAGGCCGAGACGACGCAGCGAGTGCTCAACACTCTCAAAGATGTGCTTGCGCGAGAGCCCGTGCTGATTCACGTAGCCAGCCTGATCGGCTTCGGTCGGCGACAAGCGCAGAACGGGCCCACCGTTGCGGGAGACGGTACCATACAGCTTGCTGGATGAGGCTCGCATTCAGACAGATGTCAAGTGGTAGAATCAGGAACGTACGTCATGACGACAATCTCGTCGCGGTTCATGTTGATCTCTTTGATAGCCTTGCCCAGAATTTCTTCGCTGCGACCGTTGCTGTACACATTCGCGGTGTCAAAGGCGTTGATACCGTGCTCGTAGGCGTATTTGATGTGTTCTATCCCCTCCTTCTCCTCGAGCAACCAGTCTTGCCATTCCGGAGATCCGTACGACATGCATCCCAAGATGATCTGATATCGGTGGTCGGTCAATGGGGTGTACAAGTTGGATGCACCCGATCAACGTACATTGGACACCTTCAAGCCCGACTTGCCCAAACGCACTACGCAAATGGCATCAGTAGGTATCAGACGGAAGGCAAAGAGGCTGAACAAACCGTAGGGCATGTTCTTGCGCGAAGGCTCGGCCATAGCGGATGGATTACAGGGTGTTTTTTGAGCTGCCTGAAGCTCCACTGAAGGACTACTTCTCCTCTACAGGCGCGCGTCCGGCCTATATAGTTATCGCATTGACCCACAACGCCGTCCGCCATCGTGACAAGCACGCTGACGATGTGACTTCCCGATTGAGATACTATATATCCGGTTATGGATGGCGTGGATGTCGGGTCATGGCGGACGGGAGAAAGAAGTGGATTGGGGCGTGCGCGGTTGCCGAAGTTGAACTTGCACCTCCACCGTGACCAGCCACGATGCATATCCGTTTCTCAGTACGCAGTTCGCAGTTCGCCGAAGACTCTATGGCTACTGGAAGCGAAGTAAAGTCTATGCGGGCTGTCAGAAACTCTAGTCTCTGATAGCTCGTGCCCTAGCTCATCGACGATCATGATCATGTTCGGCTGCCTCGCGTCGGGTGCCACAATTGCTGCCCTGGTGCATCATTATACTGTGGCCGAGTGATCACGATGCACGCAACTTTCCTGTCGTTCGAGGCTTGCTTTGTTCGGCTTGTTGGCGCCCTTTGGCGCCGTGCTGTCTGCATGGGAAAAGAAGCACCGCCAGGGCCTCACGGCATGCTCATGCCCTGCTCATGGCCACCTGCGCCCCTATCTGCGCCGCGTATACCCTTCTCTGCTTCTGCTATCATCTGCGCTGAACTGCATCTGTCTTGATACTGCGAGGGAGTGGGCTGAGCTCCGGAGTACGCGTGGGGGATATAAAAGGCGGATCTTGGCATTCAAGGTGAGTGTGAACTTCGACTTCATTTCCGAGATTCGCGTGCTCATGCGCCTGTGGCGCTCCGTCCTATCTTCTGTAGGACACCCGCATAAAGCCGCATCTTAGCCTCCAAGTGTCCCATAGTATATAGACGACGGGTGAGTCCTGACCTTGTCTATCTATTGTTACCTGAGGCCTCCCACTCACCGGCCTTCCTCATCCAGACCCTTAATCCATCCATCACCGCCTCTCACATCGTCCACCCCTTTCTCAAATCTCCCGTTTCCCGCTACAACATGGACGAAGCTGTCAGGCTCCAGATTAAAAGCGACGTTGAGAGCGAACTCGGCCACATGGTGCACGACGCGCGCACGGCACACAATCGAGCTCTCGCGGAGGCACGGACAGATGCCGAACGCAATGCCGCTGATCGTGACTACAAGGAGACCATGGAGACCGTGACTATGCTTGCGAGGGAGATGTTCCAAAAACGGTTACACGATCTCGCGCAATCGCAACAGCCTCCAAGTCGCGCTATCCGGACGTCCCCAGAGCGCTTCCAGCATCCATCTACCGCGGCGTCTACGTCCCAACTGACACGATATCAGTTGACGGACCCCGGCGTTCAGAAATCTTCTCCACCTGAGACTCGAGGGCGCCCCTCACGGTCGCCTCCGGCAACCGGATCCTCTCCGCCCACGTCGAAGAATAACAGCAGCGACGAGGACGCCGTTCCCGGAGATGCCGACGAGAAGAAATTGGAAGAGGGGCCAAAGGAGAAGCAAGCTGTACCCAACACCGCCAGGGTGCAGCAAGGCGTAGCAGGATCCAGTCGTCCACCTGCCGGAAGGGCACCGGCCGGGCGCTTTCCTCGTCCAGCGCCCATTACACCTGCGCGTCCAACTCCACAGCAAATGTGGAAACCGCCTCCCCAATCCGCCACGGAACCCTCCGGCGTCACGCGTTCACTGCAGCGAACAACGAACCCACCCGCGAAGGGAGTTGCACCTCCTGTCAAGTCTGCTCCGTCCGCTCCCGCCAGAGGCGTGAAGGCGGGGACCGGCGCCGCGGCGGACCACCCGCGCATGGGCGCGCGCGCTGGCGCGAGCTCCGGCGCGAGTCCGCCGGACGTACATGTATCCACCGCATCAACGGCTCCGTCTACGCAACGTACAACATCGGGAGCACCTCTAGTCCGCGCTGTGCCCGCTCAACGTACTGCGTCGTCCACCCCGCGCGCCGCCGCGCCTATATCATCCTCAGCCGGCGCTCGACGAGCACCTCCCCCTTCGTCCGCGCGCCCTCCGCCTGTCAAAGCTTCGACCTCCGCCTCAGCTTCAGCGTCAACGCCCACAAAGCCTGTCCCCATTCCCTCTATGGCTTCGAAGACGACACATCTCGCTCCGCCGCCTGAGAAGATCACGAACCCATCTGGAAGCCTGAGCTCTGCGCACTCATGGTCCGAAGTTGACGATGGTGTCTCGGGGAGCTCGCACGGAAGTGCTCACATCGTGTACTCCGGACCCAAAGCTACCCGTCGACGTGATGTTGAGAAAAGTGATGGGCTTCAGAAGACTGGCTCTTCATCACCCTCAAGCGACAGAGGCGGCGCTAGTGAGAAAGGCAATAGCATCCAGTCTCAGGAGAACGCTCTTCGTTCGAGAGAGGACGCTATGCGCGCGCGGGAGGTGGAGTTGGAGGCACGAGGGGCGAAGCTCCAAGCTCAAGAGGAGCTGTCCCAGAAGCGCGACGCAGCTGCTCGCGCGGATGCTCAGCGGCGCATCGACGAGCTCAAGTCTCAAGTCGCGGCACTACAGGCGGCGAAGAATGAGCTTCAAAACCTGGAGGGGGCTGCGAAGCTTCGCGAGGATGCGTGGGCTCAGAAGGAACGCGCTTTCAATGAGCACATCGCCGATGAAACGCGCCGGGCAGAGCAGCGTCGTCAGCAGGACGAATCTCGGGCGAAGTCTGTCGAGGAGGAGCGCCGCCTGCGAGTTGAAGAAGATGAGCGTCGGAGCTCAGCCGACAAGGGAGAGCTGGAGGCCATGCGCCAAGCCCTCGAAGAGCGAGAGGAGCGTCTTAAGGAGGAGCGGGAGCAGCTTGAGGCTGAGCGTTCTGTCATCGCAGAGGAGCGGCGTGATTTCGCCGAAGAGTATAGCGTCTTCCGCGCGCGCACCCAAGAGTTTGAGTCGTGGGCGGAGAAAGTTCGGGTTACGGCGGAGACGCACGATCGGGATCTTCAGCGTCGGGAGGCGGCTATCCAGGCGCGAGAGCTCGCTCTGGCAGATGAACGAACGGATGTCGGTCCTGCCACGGGTATGTGCACCCCGTATGATTGAGTGGTTGTAGGCAACGCTAACCTTACAGACAGGCAAAAAAGGCCCCGTTGACGCGGGCGAAGCTTACGCGATTCTGCGACAAGCGCTCCTCGCCGAGGCGCAAGACTTGGAACGCGAAGCCTCCGCTCTTGACGTCGCCGTCGGGCAGGACCACGACGCAATCGTGGCCTTGGAAGCACAGTTGCAGGGTCTCGAGATGCAGGAGCACGCTCAACGCTTAGAAGAGGAAGAACGACAGCGCCAGGAGATGGGAGGAGCAGGAGAGGCTCAGTAAGATTGCGCAGAGTAGGAGGCGAGCGGATTCCGTCAAGGATGCTTACACATGGTTCCAGTGATTCTTCTTTCGTGACATTATGCTCTATTTATCGCACTGTAACTATATGCACATATCGGCTACATCATGTTCTCTATGCATTCTTGACAACATTACCCGCGCCTTTACTTTTGACCATGTTCAATGGCAGGCCCTCTCTGCGGCTGCGACCTTCTATGCATGGTCATTGATCACTGTGTCCCTGTGATGCTCGATCAGTGACCGACACTGGCGAAGAGTGCAGGTGCTCCTCACCAAGAGACGGAATGACCCGGAGCACTGCTAAATTCCATCACATCCGCCTTAGGAGTGGGCGCACTACGTTCAGAACAACGCCACAGAGGGCACCAAAACCATCTTACTAGCGAGCTCAGAGCCTTCCCGTACACTTCGCGTGCCCCTTTCGTCCAGCCTAGAATGGCAAACACGATGACAGACAGCAAAGCTGTAGTCCAACGCACGAAGTACACCTCGATCAACCCGTCGGAGGCTCCAGCGGCAATCAAATCTTCCCACGTATGAACGACGGGTGCCCGCTCGATAGCATCCGAAGGCCAGTCCAAGTAGAAAGGCGTGGGCTTGTGTTGCAACATCGGGAGCATGACCATCACGATGGTCGTGACGTTGATGGGCAACGTGAGGACGAGGTCGATGCTTGCGAGAGCCAAGATGCGGATGTAGCTCACACGCGATACTCCGGATTCGGCGCTGTGCAAGAAGCGGTTGACGTTCTTTCCTTGTCGATAGAACCTCATGGCGATCTTCGCTGTACAATCAATCAGAGAATGATTGCTTGAAGAGACAGAGTGAAGACGCACGATAATAAACCGTGACGGACACCAGAGCAGGCATGACATACCAGGTATAGACCACTAAGAGAGCGTGGGGTGCTGCACCAGAGCACCCGAAACCTTCCAACATCTCGAGACGTGGGCCTTGTAGACCGAGATCTTCCTGTCATGTGAGCGAAATCGTCATGACAGCCATGTTGCGAGCTCACAAAGAGGCCCAGAAACTATGATAGGTATGACGAAACCCAGAGTCCACTCAATCACTCTTTCGCGCCGCCGTCTCTAGATGATGTCGGTTTCGCATTCAACCCTCGATGAATGAGCACTCTATCATACCTTGGGGGTGTCGAGATCGACTGGTTGAAGACTGGCGATGGAGTGCAATCGGCGCATGATGATGAGAGTGGACATCGGCTTGACGATGTCGGCAACGACTCGCAGATGACTGGCTACGGATGTATCAGCCCATCGATCATCCAGGAGTGTGAAGAGATACTCGGGACTCACATATCTCACAATACGCGTACAGCTTCACATCGACATTGTCAGCCCAGAGCACGGCGTTGAGAGCAAAGATGACATTCTGGCAGATCAGCCAGAAGCAGAGGAAGATGACACCGAGATTCCAACTCTCGCGAACGAGGCTAGAGAGCAGAACGGGAACAAGCAGCCCCGCCGCGATGAAGCTGGCAAGCGGGGTTAGAGGATAGGAAGGGTCTACGGCGCCCATTTTCATGTGTTATAAAGACTCTGCGGAGCCCACTGGACGACTTATATAGCGTACTCGCTGACGCTGTCTCGCTATGCTACCATACACTAGCGCACAGGGGTTTTGGGGCGCGTCGTGGTAGATATGTTGGTTTCGCTGGAGTCATACGTGGCGAAAGCACTTGGCATACACTAACTTGTGCTGGAACCACGATGTAACGGCACTTGCTACGGATGGACGAGCACGTCCAGTTCACAGATACGTGCGCTCAAGCCACCACAGCGCAATTGCATGTCAGCACGCATATAGAGAAGAAAGGGATCGCGGCAGACTCGCGTCGGGGACGATATCGATGGGCGTAGATAGCAGGCGTTGTCAACTTGTAACGCGGCGCTTCGGAGGCGCCTCTCGCCCATCACGGGTGGGAGACGGGCACCTACGGAGACGTATCGTTCAGTGTGACCGAGTGAGTGACCGACAGGGCGAAAGGCCGTCCAACGCTCAGTACTGGAACCGAGACGTTTGTCGTTGACAACGGCGTTCGTTAGTCTATCACTGGCAGCCATCTCGCTCCGGACTCGTCTCGTCTCGACTCTCATAGATCAAGAGCAGCCGCGCAAGCATAAATGTACTTAACTGGATGAAAAAAAAAACTGGTATTCTTTCGATCGGGTGTAAGCTAATATTGAATAGGGGACCGAGAAAAGTGTGCCAGCTCGCTCATGGTGGTTCAAGACAAACCCTAGTTGACACCTGAGGAAAGTCCCATCGCCACCATACCTGCGCGCGACCTTCCTACAGATACAACAAGTTATTGAGTACGACAAAATATCTGACCGCAAGTGCCCTTCGTGATATATGTCAAACACCCACAAACTACATATTGATGCGAGTAGAAATCGTGTGTGGGCAGAGAATTCGGATACGGGGAATCGAACCCCGAGCTGCCGCGGGCTCTCAGATGAGAGGCGGCAATGTTAGCCGTTACACCATATCCGATTGATTGGGTCTACCTAGCAAGGCAATATATAAACATTTATTCTTTCTTCGCGCCGCGTCCAGCGCACCTCTCCTCCCGCCACAGGCTCACACCCCCACGCCCACAGCCACCATGCCTCTCCCAAAGCCCTACTTCCTCCGGCGCACGCCCGGGCCCGACACATTCAATACCGCACGCGCACTCGTAAAGCACCTACTGTCTACGGCACCCGGCCCGCAAACGACGCGCGCGCTGTTCGCCGCTGGAACGCAGCTGCAGCAGATTCCTGGGTCTGAAACGCCTCTGACGCGCGTGGTGAAGAAGGGACAGAATGAGGAGGAGCAGCATGTTGTGCGGTCGTTGTCGTAAGTGAACAATACACTGTATAAGCTTCAGTGTAGGATGTTTTGTTAACGTGAGGTGAATATAGGTATCTGAAAGCCGTGATCCACGACCTCAAAACCCGCAACCAAATCTCCCAAGTCCAAATCCCCTCGCCCCACACCCACCGCAAACACATCTTCGCCTGGGCGTCCTTCGTACCCAAACACGCGCCCTCCGCCCCAGTCATCAAGAAGCCCAAGGCGCCGTGGCTGCCGAGCGCGCTGGCGGCTATACGGCTCGGTGGGGACCTCACGCATTTGAATAGAAGGAAGAGGCGCAAGGCGTTGATGGAGGTTCGCGTGGGCGCGTTGAGGTTGCATTCGCAGGCGGATTTGGAGAGGAGGGAGAGGGAGGGGTTGGAGGTGGAGAGGAGGAGGGCGGAGAGGAAGGCGAGTAGGGAGGTAGTGCCGCCTGCGGGAGACGTCGGCGCTGTTGAAGCGCGCGCGTAGAGACCGACTTCTTGCTCTTCCGAAGCATATAGCACCCTACTACTCGTTTTAATCACAATTGCTTGCGCGCACAGACTGAAAGAAGAGTTGTGGCAAATGCCGATTGATTGACAGCTGTCAAAGCGTGGGAGTACCGACGTACAGTACAAACAAAGCAGGTAACGACGGAAGTTGGGCTGGGCGGGAGCGCAAGTCGTGCAGAGGCTACTACTACAGGATGTGTGTGGGAATGGAACACGGTATTGACAGGTAGAGCTGGGGTGAGGAATGTGGCAGGAAGCGACGGTGGACCGATGGAATTGGGAAGGGCATTGTAGTATCGTAACGGAGACTGCAGGACGGACTGGTCTGAGATAGGACAGTGATAGCAGTAGCAGCGAGTAGACAACCGGAGAATAAAGATGCGTCGTAAATATCTCGATCTTTTCATGAGTCCGTGGATGGAAGTCGGAGTCGGGAGATGGCGTTCACTGGCCACGTCGGTACAGCGCATACATACTATCAACAACAGCACCATCGGCCTGCAATATATCGTCAGCATGCTCCACCATTATCAGATATGCAAGAACCAGACTCACCAGCACGCGCCTCGCAACCTCCCCGATAAACGCATCCCGACTCAATCCAGCAGGCATAACACCCGCCGCCCACCTTCCAATCTCATTGACCGGGACAGCCGGTACGGGTACCGCAGGCGTAGACGGTACACTCGCAAACAACGTTTGCATATCGATCTTCGTCCCTCCCCCAGCGCCATTCAAGTTCAACACCCCAGGCTGTCCCTGCGCATGAACGCCATTCACGGAGCCCTTCCCCTTCTGATGAAGCCCGTTCACAACACCAGCACCCCTCTTCGACGCCCGACTCGAAGTCGAAACAGGCGAATCCGGACCCAGCGCGTTGAGGTCGAGCGGCTTATCAGCGTCGACCGGCACCGTACTGCTCGGATCGGCCACAGCGGGCGGGGCGTCCCAGCCCCCTTCGATCGCGGCTCTCTCAGCCCTCTCCTTTTCCCTCTTCAACGCCCGTCGACTTTTCTTCTTCTTGCCCTCTCCACCCTCTCCACTTCCGATCGTGCCGTCTAGACTGGGACCGCGTGCGTGTGCATGGTGATGATGGTGTGAGGAGGGTAAAGCGTCGGGTGTGGATAAGAGAGCCGTCTCGCTGAAATCGAGCTCGATGACGCCCGTATCTTCGTCGCTGTCCCGATCGTCGAGCGGTGCGCGCGGGTACGGCCACGCCGTACTATTATCATGGAACGGCACCAATCTCCTCGGTGTGCCCGCCCTACTCCCCACACCACCGTCATTTGCCGTCAACACATCCTTCAACACCGACACCCCTCCTCCTCCAGCCACACCGTTCTTGGCAAGACCATCCGCCAGCGCCGGTACAACGCTCACAGGCCGCACACGCGGCGACGGCGGCGGCATAGCGCGCGCACCGATAGGCGCCGCCCTGGGCGCTTCTTGAGCTCTAGGCGTCCGATCTCCAGATATGGACTGTTGAGCGCCCGCTCCTGCACCTCCAGATGATGTAGGGAGCTGTAACATCCTCTTCAGCTCGTCCGCTGCGTTCGTGCTTCCCGCGCCTGATTCTGTCGCTGCTTCGCGCGAGTGCTCTATAGGCGCGGATACCGCGTTGGATGGAAGAAGACCTGGCGGAAGACCGAGCCCAGCGCTTGGGAGTGTAGATGTTGAGGTGGGTACGAGGTCGGATGTGGGAGGAGGCGCGCCGAGAAGCTGGTGTATGACGTCCTGCGTTAGAATCTGCGGGAGCGCCGCGACTGCCGGTTTCGGACTGTGGATCTCGTGCGCGGAGGACGAAGAATGGATCGGCGCTGTCACAGGTGCTGGCGCGGGAGAAGCCGATGCGAATATCGAGTCCAGCAGTGCGTGGCCTGTGCTCGGCGCTGGCGCTGGCGCTGGGGTTTGGGACTGAGGAGCAGGCGTGGCGGATGCGAAGATGGAGTCTAGGAGGGATAGACCGCGTTTTTCTGGTTGTTCGGCTTTGGTGGGTTGTTGCGGTGCGGGTAGGGAAACGGGTGCGGGTGTTGATGATGCGGACGCGGATGCGAAAAGGTCGTGGATCGTGAGTTTCGGGAAGGCGGGCGCGTAGGCTGGCGGTGTCGTGCGTAGGTGTAGCGGGTAGCGTTCGCCTTTACATATGTACTCGTGTAGAGACGTCACGACGGCCTTGAGATCCGGTCTATCGCCCGCCTCCTCGGGATGCATCCACAGTCCAGTCGTCTCGCCCTCTTCACGCTCCGGTTCGGGTAACAACTTCCAGCTCGTCTGCGGGTCGTCGGGTGCAGGCTCGCGGCCGGCCCAGTTGGTGTATGTTTCCATTGGGAGGTTGAGCTCGTGTGGGGGGAGGGAACGTGCGCGGGAGAGGCGCTCGGTTGTGAAGTCTTTGAAGTTGCGGTATAAGAGGAGGGAGTTGTCCGGTTTGAGGGTGTCTTCGGGGTACATGTATTGCACGTAGTCTTCCATTCCCATCCGGTTCAGGATGAAGAACCCGTATGGCGGGTACGCGCGTCTATGCACAAAGACAAAGACACAATCAACATCAACCATAATAACTTATGAAGGGCAAAGGAAATGCATACCGTTCAAAGATAAAGAAACTGCCCTCGAATCCACGTTTGTCCCACTTGTTCATGGCGAGATCGTACTGGTAGATACAAACATGCGAGAACTGATCCACGATACTCTCGATCGACGGATCAGCGCGTTTGAGCACTTTCAGATTCTGCGCGTATTTCAGCTCGGGGGCCATCGCCGCTGCGCCCGTGGCCTGGGCTGGCGCGGGGGAGGGGGAGAGCGTGAAGGAGCCCGGGCCGGGTTTGACGGACGTTGCGCGGTTGTTGGATTTGTTGCGCGTGTGGCCGAGGTGGTGCGGGCTGCCTTGCGCTGGCACGCTGTTCTGTCGTCGCGGCTTCATGGGGCACGCGTGAGTGAGGGGAGGGGCGTGGTGGGTGGTGGGAGGAGGAGAGGTTGTGGCTGGTTCGGTTTCGCGCGCTTCTGGGTCTGAGCCTGAGCGCATCAGGCGCGGTTTCCTGCTTTGTCTCGTGCCACCATCACCTTCGGGAACTTCGCCATTTACACAGATTTACACCCTGCTATAATATGAATTTCCAATGGACTCCAGATCAGCATGATGGTGCAGCATGCGACGAGCTGCTTGCTTGAGGACGATCTAAAGCACTCGAGTGCGATCGGTGGCGCGGCGATGGGCGACACGGGTTGCCCCGCCGTGCACGTATCATCCCGATTTTGGCTGAGACAATGCAAGCTCTGGACGAATCAAGTTTGCTCATGTCATACCCCAGATCTATCTACCGCATTCATATAAGAAATATCCTCACCTCAACTCGCCGAGTCGATCGCATTATCAGACGAACGTAGTCACTCTTCAGTACGTGCTGCTGCTCCACGCATCAACGCCGCGTTCACGGCTATTCAGCAGACCCCGCAATCTTGCGATCATCTCGGGTTGCCAGCCTTGCTTATTATGGTCTGAGACCTCCTCCTACATACTCGCAACGACGTATACATCTTGATATATCCACACTCGGGTACGCCGGCGATGTGTTGTAGGAAGTCGACCTCTTCATAAAGCTGGCACGGGAGGAGAAAGATGCACGGACCTGCCAGATGCGTATCTGATTACAAGGTATAAAGCATTTGAGCATGCGAGGGAGCGATGAACGCCATTACGCTGACAATACGACCATGGGCGCAGTCGACCCCGCCTATCCTCTGTACCCCATAGCATGCATCGTGGCTTCGGTGCTCTTGCTACTCGTGCTTACGTCTAGTTTTGTACGCCAAAGCTGGAACCTGGGCGTCGCCTTCCTCTGCTTCTGGCTCTTCTTCGAGAATCTCACATTCGCCGCGAATGCAGTAATATGGTCGGACAATGATGATGTCAAGTTATATGTCTATTGCGATATTGGTACGCATACTTGGCGGGACACGATCGTTGTAGATGATTGAACCGACTTGGCAGTCTCACACCTACAAATCGTTACTACCGTCGTGAAACCCATGTCGTCGTTCCTGATCATGCGCCGTTTGCATTCGATTGCTAGTTTGCGATGCGTACAGAGTTCCGATGGCAAGAAGGCGCGCGGTACCCTCTAATTCTCTTAGACCAACTCCTGCTGAATTCGGATTATGATATCACAGCGAAGAATCGATAGGTTGATTGAATGGACGCTGGGCTTCGTCATACCTGCGCTAGTTGCAGGGCCAATGTGTGAGTACTGTGTCTATAAATGTCTCCCCTTTTGCCTGATATGGTGTCGAGACTATGTGGCACAGCAACGACGTTTTGTGGTAATTGAAGGCATTGGGTGTGTAAATTCAACGACTGATGACGGTATCTTGTTTCTACTGCTTTACCCGTGGACCATCGCGCCCCCTCTTCTCTCCGCGATTATCTATTACCGTGCGTATATCTTTCTTACCCGTGATCAGCCACTGACGGGACGACACCATAGCACGAATTGTGTGGATCCTCCATCGACGACATACCGAGCTGGATCAGTTTTTGCATAGCAATAACTCCATCTCGCGCTCGTGTTACTTCCGTGTCCTTACTCTCGCCAGCGTCGACATCGTCTTCACGCTGTTTGTGAACATCACTGACTTCGTGATTCACATGCTCTCCTATGATCAGTTTGCTCCATTCTACCCGGGATGGAACTACGTTCACACAGATTGGGCCCCAGTGAGCTTCACCTGGGAGGAACTGAGGGGCAATAGATGGGCCGATATCTACACGCAGTGGACAGCACCCTTGTTCGCGTTCGTCATCTTCGGTCTTTTCGGCCTCACGGAAGGTGCCCGAGCATCATACCGGCATGCGCTCTCTACCATGAAGGGATGGTTTATGCGGGTGTTGGTCGGAGGTCGGGACGGGTGCAAGTCTGCTATCTCCGTTCTCCGCTCGATCCGCTGTATTCGTCCCAAGCGAGCGAGGAGTGCAGAGTCACTCGTCAGTACAACGTACTCCGGGTGCGTACAGCGAGGTTTCGACTCCATGCCTACCACTCTGACCGCATCTCATACAGCCCTGAGACCGTCATCGATATAGCACCGCCTTCACTGGACGTGGAGGGTAAGGACCATCGCGATGATGACTTGACCAACGCCCACGATAGCCAGGATCCCTCGCGCCCCTCCAACGAGACTGAGTACGTCCATAGTCCCTTCCACAGCTAGGCGTATGACTGATCCACAACGTCGCGCAGGGATACTAAAACGGAACCGCTCGACATGAATACAGTCGACGTTGGCGGGATGACCATCCGGTCTGCGGCAGATTTGGCTTGATGACGTCCGTCTGGTCGTCGCCCCTGATACAGACCCTTTCCGTGTTCGAAGACTAGCTCGGACTCGTGTATCATCATATGTATATCATGTATTCACTGTCCTCATTTTCAACTTTGCACCGATCAAGGCATCATGTCCATTACTTAATAATATACGTCACAATATTGACCGAACCGTACGACGTCTTACAATACAGGGTATCTCTGGCCCGCACTTCTTCTCCATAGACCTCACTTCCCGCACCCCATTCTGAGCTGCATGCTTTCCTCTTGTGGCCTTGACAGCACTGCACGATGGAAGCTCCCAGTCCACGGCCCGGTCGTGGCATTCGAATTCAGAGCCGACTCCGCAATTCCCCGGCGAGTGGGCGTCCTTGTCGGGTGGTAGGGCCGAGAGGTGAGCAAAGTAGCGGGGAGAACACCCCAGCGCATAGCCCTATCTCAGTTCCCTCAGGCGCGGATGGGGCATGGCGGTGTGACTATGTCGCAGGGTGGAGAGCGTGAGGGCTGGCGAATCGATACAGTTCACGGATATCGCGTAGCCAGACGATGAAAGCGAGGTGGTGGACATAAACGCTGTCCTATGAATGCGGCTTCATGGCGCATGCGAGAGTGATGGATGGGGCTGGTGGGTGGTGGGAGGAGGAAACATTGTGTCTGGTTCGGATTCGCGCGCTTCTGGGTCTGAGCCTGAGCGCATCAGGCGCAGCGTAACGACGAGCACGGTACGTCCTCCGATCCGCGCTTCTTCTTCACGGTTCTCGCGTCTTGCACCCCCACCGACTCACATCCTTCCCGTGTGTTCCGGTTCGCATCATAGTATAAGAGCTTCAGGTGAACGGACACTGCCCCACTGATTGGGGGCCCCTAGTCGGACGGCGGAATCGAGAGTCGGACAGAGCGGCGAGAAAAGTGTCTTAGCGTACGAGCGTCCTTACGCCGAAGGCCTGAGGCGCGAGTGCGGATGGGATTGGTTTGCCGGGCAGTGTCGCATGGGTACGTATTTTCGCAGTAGTGGGGAGCAAAATAAGAGGGTTCGGAACGGTCATTCTCCTTAGGCGTCTTCAATGCTGTAGCAACGCTTGGAACTGGACTGAGGCGACAGAGGATTTGACAAATATTGCGCGCTTTGATACATTCGTTGTGCCCAAGATGGTAAAGGGTACCTGGGCGCGAGCGAAACCCTACAGGCGCGGTTGTGGGAGTGCACACGGAAAGAGGTGAGCGGCATAGTGGGAGGAGGAAAGGTTGGACGCACATCGTCGGCGCTTCGTCCGCGACTCCGCGCGCTTGTGTCCCGCCACCATCATCTACGCAGACCACACTGCACACACCACTTGATCAATGAGCCATAAAGTCTCGGCGAACTCCAATCATCATGACGACTAGGCAGGCAATGAGCTGCTCGCTTGCACCATATATTCGAGTGCACTAAGGTGTAATCCGACGTGGGCTATGCAGCTGCAGGAGACCGCACGCACCACACAGCAGTCATGTAACGCTGCTGGTGCAACCTGGTAAGGACGCAAGCCCCGGGTCCGCCTGCCACAGGATTTGGGGCGTATGCGATCCCAGAGCCAAATGACGTTCATATGACACTCCCTGACACTCCCGACTGTGCAGAGTACCTATATACTGCTCCACGCAGCTACGCCGCATTCGCGGGTACTGGCGAGTTTCCGCGATCATCCCGGGTCCCCAGCGTTGCTCGTTGCCCATTGCAGTCGAAATTCCCTTTCTGGTCATCCGCAGCGGCGTATTCGTCTATCTTTGGTCAATCTGTCAAAAGCCGCCCGGATTCATCGTCAGGTCTAGTACCATGTAAAGGTGATGCGGGATGAGAAAGATGCCTTATCGTGTCACAAGTGTATTGGTCTAATGCCTTATAAAGAGAGCCTGCATGCGCTACACCTGCGGTACAACCATGGGCGCAGCCGACCCGACATACCCTCTATTTCCTGTAGCGAGCATCATCGCATCTTTGCTCCTACTCCTTGTGCTGCTATCGAGCTTTGTGCGCCAGCACTGGAATCTGGGTGTCGTCTTCCTTTGCTTTTGGCTCTTTTTCGAGAACTTGACCAACTCCATCAACGCTATCATATGGTCCGATAATTTTGACGTGAGATTGTACGTCTACTGCGACATAGGTGCGCTTTCCATCGTGTATCCTGCCCTTCACGGTGGATATGTGTGCTAAGATAAACCTCAGTCTCCCATTTGCAGATGATAGCATTTGTGGCAAAACCGATGTCAACGCTCTTGATCACACGTCGTCTGTACTTGATTGCGCGCCCGCGGCTCGTGAACGCGCCCAGTCGGGGGATGGTTGACTGAAGCCGAGACTAATCTGCGTCACTAGATATTGTGGGATAGACTATTCGAGTGGACTCTAGGCCTCGTCATCCCTGTACTTGTCGCTGGACCCATATGTGAGTTTAAGCGCAGAGCCCGGCCTTGTCAACTAACACGTCTTCAAGATTACGTGTCCCAAAGTGCACGATTTGCGGTCAACGAGGGGTTTGGCTGCTCTGAATCGGTGGCACTATCTGCTGTATCACTCATAAGTTTGAGATCCTGGGGTACTCTCCCACCTCTTCTGTCATTGGCTCTCTATCACAGTGCGTCCGGAGAATCTTCCGGCCAGCATTCTATTCATCAAATTTCCAGCAAGAATAGCGATGCTCTTATACAAACAACGTCGGGAGCTGGGTCGTTTTCTAGGCTGCGATGCTATCATGCCCCTCCCCATCTACTTCCGTTTTCTCGCTATCGCCACTCTTGATATTCTCATGTCGTTGTCAGTCAACGTCACCAACGATATCATTATCCTCGTACAGTATCTCGGTGGTTCTGAGAACGTCCTTTTCTATCCCGGTTGGCATGCGATTCATGACAGTCCTTGGCATCCTACCGGAACGTCATGGAAGGAGATGGAGGCTGGTGGCTCGTTATCTATGGCACAAACTATTTACACTCAGTGGACCTCACCTATCCTGTCCTTTGCCGTATTCGGGTGCTTCGGCCTGACGCGCGGCGCCCGCGCGTCGTACTGGACCGTCTTCTGGATCATTACCGGATGGTTCGGCTGGAACCCTACTCGGTCTGCCAGACGCCGCGGAGCAAACCAATCGGTCTCAAGTTCGTTCCGATTCAATCGCAATACCATGCCACAGGACATCTCGCTTGCTAGCTGTGAGACCAGGTGTGCCATCCATCCATCGCTGTAATTAAACTCTTAACCCCCTTCGTCCAGATCTCTACCGAGGGTTGTTGATATTGCTCCCTCCCTCTCAGGTACAAGTACTGAGAGCAGGACCTTGGATTCAGACGTGTCGTCTGAAGCAACCCAACTCAAGGGCCCCGCACGTTTTTCCGACGCAAACACCGAGTATGTAATGCAATCATTTAGACAAGTGCCATTACACAATAACCACCGTATAGGGATAGAAAACGAAGGTCTTCCGACCTAAGTACAACGTCGGTAGACCTCGGGGAGGTGCCGCACGGTGATCACGATGCGGCGTCGGCTGTGTGACCCAGTCTTATGGCTCCGTGACCTTCGGAGGATGGCGACTCCGAGAGTCCCTCTAGTCTTAAGGCATCAGTATCTTGCTCTCTTCACAAGTTGTCTTTACGTGTACACTATTCGCCTTGGATGGATAGTCCTCTCCGAATGCTGTACAATCGCGTAATTCAGAGATTCAGTGGTTGACATACAAGAGCCTTCTGACGCGACCATTGCTGCCCCGTAAAACCTGCCCCTCGTTCACCAGTCGGAGGTTGTGAGCTCTCTGGCATTGCCAAAGTAGCGAGATGAATGTCGAGGGTGGCTGGCTTTGCCATGGCACGTTCGGGCAAGTCTCCCACAAGTCTCCGAGTTTAGCGCTTCGAGCGGCGAAGCCTGGTAGAACCATGAAGCTGGGAGTGAAGCAGAGCAGATGGAAAATGGTCGCAGGGAATAGGCGCTCTCAAATCGGCAGAATGGTCGAGGTGGTGTCCGGCCCGGAAACTGTGAAGCGCTACGAGGGGATGGAAGAAGCCGCGAAAGGTTTGTCGGATGTCATTCATTGCGCGTGTGGCCGAGGTGCCGCGGGCTGCCTTGTGCGGGCCCGCTGTTCTGTCGTCGCGGGTTCATGGCGCACGCGAGAGCTGTGGTAGGGTGTGGTGGGTGGTGGGAGGAGGAGAGGTTGTGGCTGGTTCGGATTCGCGCGCTTCGGGGTCTGAGCCTGGGCGCATCCGACATCGGGCGCGCTTTCCTGCTTTATCTCGTGCCACCATCATCGGCGCGAACTCCGTGCTTGCGAATTCCCTACCATACATTCGCGTATGAGGCGTACAACTTCTTTAATTTCCGCGCTGTGACATGCGTCAAATATACTACGCGATGTGTGGGTCGATGACCGCACTCAGTGCATAGAGAGAGGCCCGCGCGACGGACGTTGGCTGCCCAGGGGTTGATCAGTTTGGATCGAACCACGCTATCAGTTACATACAGCTTCTCGCCATACGACTATGGAATCACTTTGGTCTGTGGACCTCCCCTCTGACGGGAAGAAGGCTTGCCCTATCCAGGTGCGCGCCCATCTTTCCCGGGACAGTGCGGTGCGCTCACATCTTGATTCTCCTCACCAGCAGCTATAGCAGTCCATATCTGCGCATCCCATGTTCATAAACGCACAAGTCTACATACGTATGTGATGGGAACACCTGTATAAAAGGACGACATAGAGCCAGCGCGGTACGGATTCTCCCAAACCCGCGATCATGGGCGCGGCTGACCCGACCTTCCCTCTGTACCCTATAGCATGTATTATCGCATCCATGCTTCTGCTCACCGTGCTGTTTTCTAGCTTTGTGCGCCAGAGCTGGAACCTTGGCGTTGCCTTCCTCTGCTTTTGGCTCTTTTTTGAGAATCTCACCTTCGCTATCAACGCGATCATATGGTCTGACAATGCCGACATCAAGCTTTACGTCTATTGCGACATCGGTGAGTACGAGCAAATGGGTCTGATATGAAGGCTGACTACTGTGCTGCACTCAGTCTCGCATATGCAAATGCTTACTTCTGTCGTGAAACCCATGTCGTCGCTTCTGATCATGCGCCGCTTGTACTTGATTTCCAGCCTGCAATCCGTGTATCTCCCGGATAGATCAACAGTTAGAGACTTTATCATCTCTTCTGGACTGTGAGGGCTAATACATAAGTGGCCACAGAAGCGAAAGGACATTCTGATCGAGTGGACATTGGGCTTCATCGTACCAGTGCTATATGCGGGACCAGTTTGTAAGTTTCGTGTTCAGATCTGAAATTCTTCCTGATATCCGCATCAGACTACGTGGTACAGGTCTTTCGCTTTCAAGTAGAAGAAGGAGTCGGATGTGAAAGTGTAGTGGGTGGCGGTCCCGCGTTACTGCTCATAGACTCAGTCCTTCTCATACCCCCGCTACTGTCTGCGATTCTCTACTACCGTGCGTTCAATCCTCGGTCCCGATAGGCATCCAGTTGACATGTTCTGCAGCGAGAATCATCCGGATACTCTATCGGCGACACACAGAGCTTAACCAGTTCCTACACAGCAATAGCTCCATTTCGCGCTCGTGCTACTTTCGCATCCTCGCCCTCGCCAGCGCCGACATCCTCTTTACCCTGTCCATCAATATCGTCAAATTCGCGCTCAATGTGGTGCTCGTTACTGGATCTCATGAGCCGCACCCGTTCTACCCAGGATGGGACAACATTCACAGCGATTGGGCCCCAGAGGGCATCGCCTGGGGGGGACAGGGGAAAGAGAGAGGAGGGATATTGATATACAATCAGTGGACGGCGCCCTTATTCGCGTTCGTCATCTTCAGTCTTTTCGGCTTCACAGAAGGTGCCCGCGCATCCTATCGGAATGCGTCCTCAACCGTGAAGGGATGCTTTATGCTGGTGTTGCCGTGTGCTCGGGGCGGGCGCAAGTCTACCCGCTCAACTTCAACTCTTAGGCTCAACTTCGCTCAACGTGATCACGACGATCGCATGCAGAATATGTCGTCTGTTGCCACAGAATGCGGGTACGTACAGCGTCCATTTGACTGGACATGCTACCCCTGACAGTAGAACCTGCAGCTCGAGTGTCGTCGATGTAGCACCTCCTCCACCTGACCTGCACATCGAGGCCAAGCGTGCTTCTCACGATGACTCCGCCAATACCGATGACGAGAGCCATCCCGGCGAAGCTGAGTACGTCACGCTTATGTTCACAGTTGAGCCTGTTTCTAACTCTTCATATCGCGCAGAAAATCCAAGCAAGAACAAGTGGACATGAAGACAGCTGACATGACCTCGGCCACTCATTCCATCAGTAGTTTGGCTTGATCACGGTCGCCTGGTCGTCGCCGCTGATGCTCAGAATGCTGACGTGTGTTTTGAAGACTCGTACGGGGTGATGTTGACTATATGTATATCACGTATCCGCCATCGCTTTCAACTCGAACAAATCCCGGCCAGATAGTAGTGTCGACCGAACTCTACGATGTCCTATGTACATTAAGGTAGGTGATCTGCGGGAATGCTGTCCCCCAACGTCCAACCCGCATCTCCTCTCCATGAACCTCGTGTCCCGCACCTCAACCTGAGCCGCATACGTTCCCTGTGTGGTCCTGATGGCACTACACTATAAGAGCTCCCGGTCCACGGCCCGGTCGTGGTATTCGGATTCGGCTCCGAGCCCACAATACCCCGTCGAGCGGCCCGGGCGGCCCTATCAAGTGACAGAACCGAAAGTAGAACGAGGTGGCACGGAAACTACTCCTGCGCATAGCCGCCTCTAGTCCTAGGGTACGAGTGGCGGTGTAACTAGTTCGCTAGGCAGAGTGTGCCTGCGGGTGAGAGAAGCGGGCGAGTTCACGGACGTCGCATAGCCGGAGGATGAGACCGTGGCCTGCGGCAATCCCCGAGACGGGTTCGGCCCGGTGATGCGGCTCTGACAACCCCCTAAAAAGCTGGCGAAAGTCTCCAAACCTTCGTTAACGTCGTCCGCTGGATGAAAAATCATTCTGAAGGGTGGAGCTCAATGGTGAGACCCCTCCGCAGGGAAATATCAGACAGATTATCGATAACTTCCTTTCCAGGGGAACGCGCTTTTGAGGGCCTAAAAGCCTAATTCCTCTGCTATTTCCCTCGGGGACGACTGTCCCATCTCAGAGGTATAGTCGGTTTCCAGGCAGGATGAGTGCAAACCGGTATCGAACGTTTGGAGAGTGCGCGCCAGCAGCAGAAAAGACGCGCCGCGCGAGGACACGAAGGTCGCGGGGACCGCGTGTCCTTGCTCGGCCGAGCCTCGGCCACCCATATTCGGCGGGATAAGGGAGTTTAAGACGAGCCCGGCAACTGCCGCGACGGCCTCCAAGCCTCTGTAGACTTACAGAATGCTCGCAGCCCACCAGAACTCTCAGTAGAGATACTATATAGTGCATACTTTCTCCCCATCACTTTACACAGGCTGTCACGAAGAGAGACAAGGCTTTGCCATCGATTCTGGACGAGCGAGGGTTTCTCGAGGGTTTCGCGACTCCGGATCCCGGTTACCGCCCTACCCGGCCACGCGGTACCGCCACGGCGCGCTTCGCGCGCCGTGCCCGTACCCAATTCTCGGAGAACGCGTCGCGACGCGTCATGGGAAAACACACGTGCGCGCGCCGAGTGGTGTTGACAGTTGTGTGTGCCACAGCATGCTGCCTACCACCGACGGTTTGGGGCACGCTTCGCTGTCTTCTTTCGACCAACACGCACGGTGACCATGCAGTTCGTATGATCTTCGAACCCACCAGACCAACACTCTGCTATATACAGCGTTCACAGGTGCTCTTCTGACTAGAAGTTCGTCATAAGGGCGACGTTCGTAGCTGTTGATTCGCCCCCTTCCCGACCACGCGACCCCCACAGCCGCGCGGTCGTATAAAGATGCCCGTTCCTCAGCTCTACTTGTTTGACCAGGCTACCCCCGGTCTGCTTACGGACGTCATGCGGTCGGTGCAGAGTGTCGCCAGTCGCCTATCGCTCTATGCGACGGCCTTCTTCGCGTCCAGCGGGATGCTAGGCAGCCAGACGACGCTGGCTGCTGCCCAATCCACCTATCTGCTCGGACTGGGTGAGTGAATGACGACCTAGCTGCAAGCACATTCCCTGTCCTCCCTTCCTCGAAAATGACTGGGATTCTATTCTTGCCCCTCCCTGTGATCTGCCTGATAGTATTTCTCCGCCTTTCTCCGTTTCTGTCCAAGTGAAGGTTGAGACTATGCTGACGTTCTGTACGTTGTTTGTAGGTATCGGGGACATCACAGGGTGCGCCTCTAAGCTCTGCTGCGGCCGCACCTATCTTATCTGCTCAATAGGCCCGTCGTCGAGACCAACATGATGGTGAGCTGCCGAGATGTCCGGAACGATAGCCTCAACGCACGGAGCTCGTGCGAACAGGGCGGATAGATAAACGTCTGCGCTTCTTGAGCGCACAAAGAAGCTCGTATGCCGGTCCTGTCGCATGTGTTTTCTCCTATCGAGCGCGATTGTTTGTGATGAAGTGAAGATGCTGACGAACTTGTAGGGCTATGCATCGCTGGGACAGACTGATACTGGACTGCATATGCGCCAGCGTAGTCGTGCGTGGATTATCGCGGATCCCAATAACTCCACGAACCGAGTTGTGTTCATCAATGCTGGTATGTGCAAAGTCTGAGGTTGCAACCAGTTCGCTGATCAATGCCCTCTCGCAGACATTGCGATGGGTGAGCCTCTAACCTATGCGCAGGCGCACTCCCTAACACGCCGTAGGCGATACCGGTATTCGTCGGTCTATCGTGGCCAATTTGAGCTCCATGTACCCCGGCCTCTACGACAATACGAATATCGCGCTATCTAGCACGCATCAACACTCCGGAGTCGGGGGTTATCTCGAGAATTTATTGCCGCAGATCACCGCCCTTGGATACGTCAAGGAGACCGCGGACGCAATCGTGGAGGGTACTGTCAGGGCAGTCGTTCAGGCGCACAACAGTCTTGCGGAGGGGAAGCTCAGTCTCGGCAATACCACCGTCGTGGACGGCAACACCAACCGCTCTCCTGTAGCATACCTAGCGAACCCCGAAGACGAGCGTGCAGAGTACGTGACAACAAGATATGCGTCTAGCATCATAGTAAACTCCTTGCAGGTATCAGTACGACCAGGACAAGGACTTGACGTTACTCAAATTCGAGGACACGAGTGGCAACGCACGTGGCTTCCTCAGCTTCTACGCCGTTCATGGGACCAGTATCTACGAGGTGGGCCTCTCTCACAGATACCTCAAACTCCATCTGATTCTCACTTATCAGAATAATACGCTTGTATCTGGCGATAATAAAGGCATGGCTGCATATCTATACGAGCGTGAGTGCTAGTCTTTCTGCTGTTCGAAATAATTACTTACCGATGGCAGATATGGTCGAGCCCGACTCGATGCCTGGGAATGTTACGTTCATTGCAGGCTTTGCTCAGAGCAATGTTCGTCTCGTTTAAGCTTCTATCTGAAGATGAACTGATGAGTATTCGTAGGTCGGTGATACTAGCCCGAACACACTTGGCGCCTTCTGCGAGAGCCCCGGCAAGGACTATGATGGTCAAGCTTGTGACTTCGTGCACGCAACGTGTGGCACAACGGTGCAGGACTGCCACGGCCGGTAAGACTTATCGTACCATGACCCCGTCATGTACTGATCACCGTTCCCAGTGGACCTGGCTTCCGTATCTCCGACTTCGAGTCCAACCGAATAATCGCTCAGTACCAAGTTGACGGCGCGCAGACGCTGATGGGTTCGACACTCGCACCTATCTCCGGTGCTGTGCGCCATGTTCACACCTATCTGAATATGTCCTACCACTCCTTCACCCTTCCCAACGGCACGACAGTGCAAACTTGCCCACCGGCTATGGGCTACGCCTTCGCTGGTGGTACCACCGACGGTCCGGGCGCATTTGACTTCGTCCAGGGTGACAACTCGTCGATGCCGCAGAACCCCTTCTGGGAGATCGTGAAGGGCGCTGTCACGCCGGACCCCCCTCCGGAGCAAATCGCCTGCCAATACCCAAAGCCCATCTTGCTCGATACCGGTTACGCTCACACGCCCTATAACTGGAGCCCCAACACCGTCGACATTCAGATGTTCCGCATTGGCCAGCTGGTGATACTCGTTATGCCTGGAGAGCTGACGACTATGAGTGGTCGACGCATACGGTACGTGCTCAGTCCCAAGACGAGTCCTCGATACGTTGCTCACGCGAGTTCTCAGCAATGCCATACGCACAAATCTGATCTCTCAAGGAGTCATCGGGGAGGACGCCTATGTTGTAGTCGCAGGCCCCGCAAACACGTATGCTCACTACGTCGCCACGCCTGAGGAGTACAGTGTGCAACGCTATGAAGGCGCATCCACGATCTTTGGAGCTCGTACGTTCCGTTCTATTACGCTATTCTAGTCTCTCTGACGGCCTACGCCAGACACCATCGACGCCTACATCGACAAGTACGGCAGCCTCGTGTCCTACCTAGCCGACAACGCGACCGGCGAGCAGCCTCCGTCAGATGACGCACCGCCGGACCTCACGAAATCTGCCATCTCCATTCGCGTCAGTGTTCATTGATCTTGTTCCCCAGCGCATCTACTGATGAAAGTCATGAAGGCTGGTGTCACACTCGACAGCGGCGACTTCGGCGGTATCATCTCCGACGTGAACTCGAGCTATACCATCAACGAGACTGCAAGCGCGGTATTCCACGGCGCAAATCCGCGTAACAACTTCCGCCTCGAGGGTACCTTCCTCTCCGTGGACCGCTTCGACAACGGAGCGTGGACCATGGTACGCTCTGATTCGCATCCTTCCACGACATATCAATGGGCCCGCACAAACGAGGTTCGTCTTCTATTGAGAGTACTGCCACCTGACCACGACTGATACTCGCTGCAGCTTCTCGGGACCAGCAGCGTGAACATCTCCTGGACCATCGAGCCGGAAACTCCTAGTGGCACATACCGTCTCACGTACTACGGCGATTCGAAGTCTATCCTTGGAAAGATTACCGCCTTCTCAGGGTCCTCGAGCAACTTTACTGTTGGTTAGGCTTTACGCGCATGGACTGAATCTCCGACATGAACGCTGATTGACGATGGCATACCTGTTTCTTGGCTCATTGTTGCTTGTAATATACCCAACTCTCATGTTGTGCTGTTCTGATTTCGCAATACGATGTTTACTGCTCTGCGAATGCTGAATGTGTAATGCTCAAGGAGATCCACCATTAGATCTGCATTCGTCATCTTGTACAGCTACTAATTACGGCTTGACGCTACTGCGCAAGGCCTTCAACTCGCTGTAATCTGCGCCCAGCTTGCTGAGTTTACGGGACAGCAAGACTTCCTTCGTCTGGTTCGCCCAATGACAGACAGCCTTGTGCTCCTTCCAGTCGCTCTTTTGGCACGAGGCCGAACAGTACACCGCATCTTTACAACGGGCACACTTCGCCGTAGCAGGGTTGCCGCACCCTCTCCGCGTGCAACTGTTCGAGACGTCAGAAGCGCACTAAACAGAGTCGCGGATAACGCACGTATTCCTCGTGGCCTGGTCGCCCAACGTTAACAGAATGAGCCAGCCGGTCGAGCTGAAGCGCACGTCTTCCTGCACATCTTCCCGGCCTGATGATTGTAGGACCGCATCGTGATTGATCATGGCGCCGACGGTGCGCGAGCGAGGAAGTTGTTTATAGAGCAAATGACGCAACTCTGACTCGGGGTCATGGTCGTCCAGGACGTCTTGTATATGAATCATGATGAGCGCCAGTCCTCCTAAACGGAGGGTTAGACTTCATACAACTCAGAACGACGTATATTCGTACGGGAAGCGCCAGGTACGGGAATACACTCTGGGACAACGATATCCAGTGCGTCGAAGAGGCCTGTATCAAGCCATATCCGCAGAAGGTGCAATCGCTAAGGACATTGGGTCAGGAAAGAGAGTTTGACCGAGAGATTAGAGCAAACCTCGTCCATGCCTTCGGCTTGTGCGTTGTGTATAGAGACGCCCAAGAAATGTAGCATCTTTCCAGCTGCAACCTTATCAAGAACCTGGCTACTCTTTGCGGCCATGGGTAAGACTTGCAATATTGCGCGCCAGAAGTCCGCGTGGTGTGCCGTCGCGAGCCGTACGTCTGGGTCCTCGACCGTTGCTGACAATAGTTGTAACTCTTGGAAGAGTACAGGAGGCGTAAGAACGGCGGCGCGCCCGGCGATAGCCATCAGCCGCTTGTTGGCAAGATCGCTTCCGTGCAACCCTGAAGCTGCCTCGAATCCAGCGTTGAGCTTGGCCGCAATTGTGTTACGGAGGGTAGTCTCTCCCTCTTCGTCGCTCACATCGATGCCGGGGCGGTTGACAGGGTCGAGCAATATGTTAAGCGCGGCGGTGCAAAGCTCCGTGTCGGCCTCACCGGTGGAGTGAAGCCAGTAGCGAGCCAGTAGCGCGAATGTATGGTCGTCTGGGTCGAGCACGGTACTTCAGATGGGAGCTGGTATCATGCACAAAGGCGTAGAGCGCACAGGCTTACGAGAGAGTAGTGGCCGGGCTAGTCACTAGCAAGCGAATAAAAGCCTGAGGGATGACCGCTCGTTCACCGAAGTACGCCTCTTCGGGTTTCAGTGAGCTGGCCGGTTCCTCCCAGATCTAGTGAAACATTAGTTGACTAGCATGAACGACAGACAAGCACCCGTACGCGCTTCATCATCTCTGTCCACTTGCCGAGGAGTGTTTCAACCACACGCCGATCCGTATCGTTCATATTCTCGCCGAAGCTGAGTGTTGCGCTGCACAGTGCATCGATCGATGCAAAGTAGGGCGAGTGTGTGACCTTTCATTACACAAGTCAGTACCTCGTCGTCATGAAACCATGTATATCGTACCTCATCCTGGCCAGGTCCGGCTTTATTCGCCAGCATTGCAGGGTCAATGACATTCCGACACAGCGCCTCCACCACGCCCGCCTCCACGAGGCTCTCCCAAGTTTTGCGTGATGATGCCTGCACCTCGGGCGCTACTTGCGGACAAAAGGCCATGCTACTGACGACAGCAATGACGGATACAACATCCGCGAGTGTGTCACCGCCTTCTTCTGAGCTTGATTCTGTAGCGCCCAATACGGAAACGACACTCTGCGGATCCGTCTCTGCGCGCTGCCGCCAGCGCCCATCATGCGTTGCCGTGTCAATCACACGCTCGATCTGTTCGCGCGAGAACGCCTCAGGGTCGAGCTTCACAGCATCGCCCATGATTTTGAGGCAATAGACCGCAGAGTCCTTGAGCGGGAGGATTGAGATGGGAGGAGTCAAGAGGTCGTAGCGCGCGCACTCGCGTCGCGGTTCGCGATGTGCGAAAATCTAGACGCGGTCATCTGACATACGCGATCTGAGACAGTTGTATCGAGCTATATGATGACGCGCAGTTCGCTCTTTGATTGCTACATGTACTACGTATATCCGAGCCTGGCTCGCTCGTAGACTGTGAATTACCAGACGGTGTCGGCCAAGGTCGTGTTCCCGACTTCGTCGCCGAAGATAACCTGCGCCGCGCTGACAGGATGGAGGTTGTTTCTGAATGTTATCGTGAGCGAAGGACGTCTTGAACGTCAAGGGAAGCTCTCACCCCCAGAAGTCGGTCGCGCCACCGTACGAGGTCGCATCGGAGAACCCGAAAGCGGTCGGGTCGTCAAGAACCTTGTTGAAAGCCGAGTTCGCGTCGTAAACCCACGTCTTAACCCCGGAGTGGGAGGTGGCGAGGTCAGAGGCACGTTGGGCTAGCTTCGTGTTGAAATCGGTGATGCATGCCTTCAAAAGAGCTTGCACTGATGCGTCGTACGCGAGCATCTACTTAGAGCCCAGATGAGCACCAACACTTTCTCGGACCTGAGCCGGCTTTCCGCTTACCAAGGGCGAACGGTCCGTGGGAGGGACATTGAGGAACAGGAAGTTACGAGCACCAGTATTGTACTGCAGACGTATAAGGCTCTGGATGTGCAAGGCTTTGATAAGAACGGGCACACACCAGCTTTTCCACGAGCTCGAAATAGTTATCCAAGAGCACATCGTTGAACCTATAAAATATCAATAAGGCCGATTCAGGGGTGTGGTATACTACGCACGCGTCGCGATCTCCACTCTCATAGTAACTGTTTCCGAGGTCGTTGATCCCTATCCACACGCTGAACAACGAGTTATCGCTCGTCCAGATCTTATCTCCAGAACCGACGTCGGGCTGAGCCAAAAACTGGTCCACCTGGTCGCCGAGAGACAGGACAGTTGACTCATAGGGTGCGACTAGAGTGGCGTTTATGGTTGCACCGCCGTACTATGCAATTCATGGGTCAAAATCAGAAGGAATGAAGCGGTCAGGAGATCGTACAGCGTAGTTGTAGGTCAACACGAGCGAGTGATTGGACACTGTCGTCGCTTGATCAACCCAGTTTGCTCCGCCGGTCGCCGTCCAGCCCTATCTCGCATCAGTATGCAGTAACAGTCAGTAACGTGTACCACCAGAGATACAGACGTACGGGGTAAGCCGGGTTCCCAAGTGGATTGTCGACTGTCGGGAGAACGCCGGTGGGATCAAAGCCCGTCTGGGTGTACGAGTCTCCGCTAACGACATCATTAGCAGATGGAGAAGGATCAAAAGCTATTACGCGCACTCACAAGCTGAACCAGTAGTTTGGAGCTATCGCAGTAGGTACAGCCCTCGCCAGCGACACAAACGCTCCCAGTAGCCAGAATCGGTGTGACAACATCGAGGATGGCTGAACGCGACGGATTCGTACAAACGGGGGCAATGGGCTCTTATGGCTAGGAAGGCGTACCCTCGGAAGTTCACGTCCATTGAAAGAGCGGTATATCATCGGCTGCCAACGTTCCGCTAACTATACAAGAAAGAATGTGGTGCGGATGTCTGCTCTACTGGCCACATCCGAGGTCATCCGTAGTTCGTCCGCGCTCGAGGTATGTAGTGTGCACCCGTTCGTGATGTACGCCATCGCAAATCCGCAGCGCAAAAAAAGGAAGAGAGGGGCTTGAGCTTTGACAAAGGCGATACATCAGATTGTCTGCTTGTGGGGCCTGTAAGCGAGTCGAGGGAATGCGTGGCTCATGCTGTCAGAACGATGCGGCGGTCATCTGAGTGTGGTCAGAACCTTCCATCCATGCGAAGTTTATCCCAATCGCCCGCGTAGTTCTGCCGAGCTAATGTCCTTAAGGGTCATACGTTCATGGGTGTCAGTGGGTGTCCGGAGAAAGAAGACAAACGAAGCTATGCCGCGAGGTGACGAACTGATGCGCGCCAAACGCGATCACCTGATATACACGCTACTCTACTGAGCGCCCGAACGCTTGAGTCGTACAGATCGACACAAGAAGCCTAGACGTGGACGAGAAGAAGGTCTTGAGAAATCTTCCCCTCATCGGGAACGGCTGACTGGAAGGCATCGGCTCGTTTCGATATGCAGCTTCGCTCCGTTCCGTGAACACCACCAGGAGCAGCGGCAGGCATCAGATCAGTCAAACAGGGAGGCTAGCTCCACCGGTGTGCGCAAAGACCTCATACATTAAGAGCATGTGCCGGTCATCTATATCCATATAAGGTAAGGCGAGGTATACGGGTACTCGCTTGATTGTGGATACTCATAGCGTGGTGTTTGAGGGTGGTGGGGCCATTGAGCGAGCGTGCGGCTGATTGCCCGGCAGTATGATGCTCGTCATGACTGCCGATAGATCGGTGGTTCGGAGTCCACACCGTGAGTTTTTGTATACTATAGGTGAAGGTGCGATCCTGCCTGTGGTGAGAAACACTCGCACCAACCATGTCGAGTGGAGTCAGTACTACTACAGCGGGATTCATATACAACCCAAAGCGTCGCGTCACTATGTGCCCACAATAGGGGGTGATCTAATACAACTATGCTAGCAAGCTGGTAGTGTACATGTCCGATATTTATCACAGACCTATTCTCGGGGATGACCCGCAGTTGAATGTACGTGGAACGAGGATTACGTGCTTCAGCCTCCAGGCAAGAAGTGACCCCAACAGATGCGTCCTTAGCACAAACAGAATCCCGGTCAGTTGACGACTGTTGCAGGGTCGTAGGATGTGGAGCTCGATACATGCCCAGCTGGCAAACTCAGAGGATGGTTCGTGCACGGCCTGCGAGTGGAGAGTCAGGCAAGCCGACTCCCGAGGCGCGGCGCATCAGTAGCATTTAGGATTTGTAGTGAAGCCGCGATGGACATGAGATAAGAACATCTCTTTTTCACACAGGCGCAGCGTAGAGGCCGTTGTATTCGTGAGCAGCCAGCATCGACATACGCGTAGACGAGGATGGTGGAGAGAGTAAACCCTGGCTATACCTGAGGGAGAACGAGCTTGTAGCCACGTGTGAACGCGCCGATCACGGCTCCGAACGGAGGTGTTGGTTGCGGCCCGCGCTGCCTCGAGTTCAAGCAGAATTTGCTGAGCGCCTACGTACGCGATTGCACAGTTCGTCATTTGTCCGGAAAGGTCGCATGGTTTCGGATGGCGGCATGAGGACTCCAGAGCACATCTCATCTCCGCGCGCCCGTCCTTCCCTTAGACCACGACCTGCTTTAGTACTCTGTAGTCGTCCCGGACTACTGAGTCCTCACTCTGGACGCCCGAGCCTTTACAAGCTCGCCTTGCCTGCTGCTCATAGTAAGTCTCGGGCGGCGGGCTTCGGGGAGCTGAGCTGAATGTCGATCGCAAATGCTAGGTGCAAGGCAACCCCGCGGCACACCGGTCGAGTCGAACGGCCCACACGACCTTGATCTCCTGCCCCGCCTCCCACACCGTATAAGTGTTGGTCACGAATATGGCACTATCCAAGGTATCTCTCAATCTCCTTCGCCGCGCTTGGCCGCGCTGATGGCCCGGCTGCAGGAATCGGCGGCGCCCCCGTATCTGGAGCGTGACGCGCTTTACATCCGTCTCCTCTCGACGAATATCGAGGGAACGTACATCTGGGCGCTTGTCTTCGTAGACGCCAGCGGCTTTACCCAGCGCTACGAGTGGGCGATGCCGCCGCCACCTCCGAACTCAAAAAGGCGCCCGCGCTCGGCGGACCAATACTCCGCTCCGGAAACGTTCATCTGCGGCCCGCTTGCGCCCGCAGCACCGACAGGCACTTTGGGCTTCTTCAAACTGAGCTCCTACGTTGGTGGCCTACATCACGACGTGTTGAGGGAGGATGTTGGGCCAGCTGTCTTCCGCCGTAATGCAACTAGGGTGGGGGGCGGTCTGCCACCGGGAACCGCAAGTGGCGCGTGGGCCATAGGCGCGCTCGCGGCATTGCGTGAACGCGGGTATCTACATCGAGATTCGCCATCGCCTGAAGGTGAGATCAGGCGGGCTGGCGGCATGCTCGACCTCGACTACCTCCAGGCCTACTTGAGCGGCAGGCTATTCAAAACTCCCGTGCGCGTAATATGACAATGATAACCACCCCTCATACACGATCATGCCCACGTCCCATCCGATAGTGAGTCAGGTCATCTCACGTCCAACCATGCAACTACTCATGCGCAAGTTGCCAGCCTCACGACCCTTATATTCCACCTGGCCTTCTTGCAATACCCGGCCTATCCGTATGCCATGCTGCACGTCGCCATCACCCAGACTCACCCTCCTCATTCTGCCTAATATGCTATTGCGTAAAGCTCCGCGAAGTCATGACAATCTTATGTACCATATTTACCATCCTAGAGTTGTCGGTGTCCGTGATATTATTCACGAGCCGCCGCATTGTCACCGGGTTCATGTCTACTTTTTCTTTATGTGTGCAAGTTCAATGGCATCTATATTCCACGGCAGACAAGGGAGATGAGGCGAACATTACATTATACATATGGTGGTCTATCGCGATATTGGTAGTTCAGGTAACACAACGTAGCACGAGATAGGCCGGCTCATGCGTGGTTACGAGCTGGTGTTGATGAGAGCCTACTTTACTTGACAAGCAAGCCGACCCACTGATCACTCTCCGGCAATACACCCAGGCGGACCAGGGACCTGAAGAGACCCTTTACGTTGCCCATCTGTTGCTGGTAGGTATCCCGCGATTGAGTCGCTAGGTCATCCATGAGTCCTCCATGGTCAACGGCGGGTGTAGCACCCGCACGGAACGCGGTCCATCTAGAGGAAAGAGATTGCATATCATCGTGAAGGAGTGTTTCAAACTGAACATCCTGAGGAAGATGGATAGAGAGCGATGCTAATAGCTGAGAGATGATGGGTATGTATCCCGGTTGCTTGACTGAACGGCGTATGGCCGCTCGTGTGAGACTCAGTAACTCCTTATCGGCGACTCTGCCATTATTATCAATGAAACAGTCAGAAACTCGACGAGCAACAGGTTCGGCATGGTTCTTGTTCCATGACAGCGCGAAGGCATGATCGTAGCGCTTGGCGCGGATGGCGTTGACGAATTCGTTCACCAACTTGTACTCGGAAGGGGGAGCTTGCACCGGCCCAGGGCTCGTAGAGGTCGCCACTACCGCTAGAGACGATGCTTTGATAGTATGGTCATCGTCAACACCCGTCGTTTTAGCTGTACCGGAAAGCAGGGCTTCGCGCGCCTCAATTCGAATGGACACCGGAGGCGCTGTAGCCGGCGGAACATGAGGCTGCGACGATTCGGGACTGATCCGTTCGGTTGTTTCGGGCTTCCCAATGTGACCCTCTGACGCTTCAGAGTGTTTGAAGGGCTGAGATATGGGCTGTACAACGGTTGTGAGAGGCGGCGCTGACAGCGGCGTCTGGGCGGAAGCCGATGAGAATGCAGCGAGCCAAGACGACACGGCCGCCTCTGTAGCGTCTATCTCGCCCTTCGATACAGCTTCGCGTGCGAGGAAAACGCGCACAATATCAGATTTCTCAAGATTTTCGGCTTCCGGGATGGTAAGGGCAGTAGGGCGAAGAGCAAGAGCAGCACACGCTGGCGCAAGCCAAGACGGTATGTCGTACGTCCGGCACAAAACCAGCTTATCTAAGGCGGGCGCTTGGACGGTAAGCATGCTGATGGCGAGTCCACGCATGCCATCGGCCTTCCATCTGGTGGCAAGGTGGAGGATGGATATCCACTCGTCAGCTGAAAGCCTTAGACTGAGAGTTTCATAGGATCTATGTAACTACATTAGAACTCGGATTGGCGGTGAAAGGGCGCGACGTACGCAAGATAGAGCATGGATAGGAAGGCTTCCAGGTCCGAGCTCTTGATGCCTGCAGCAACTGGGTCACGCAAGTCGTCCGCCCAAGTGGACGTGAATGCGCAGTGGCGTGCTAGTAGAGAGCCGTGTATACAGTATTTCAGTCCATCAAGCTGCGTTCTATTTAGAGATCCATCTGAATCTTAGATGACGTCGTATGGCGCACCTGAAATGCGAGAGAGCCATCATAAAAGTGGTATCTGGGATGCTCTTCTTCCGCGAGACTGGCTAGCGTCTGCCGACTAGAGAAGGTCGGAGAGGATGGGCTAATACTGGTGTCCATGTCGGACGTAGCGACGGAAGACTGCCTACGTCCTTCCGAGGAGCTCATAGACGTTTCGATGATCGGTATTATTGTGCTCGTGGTGGTCGTGGGTCAAGTACCGGACCGGGGCCCTACCGAGCGCTTGTTGCCCAGAGCGTGCGAGTGCGATGTCGGTCAAGCTCAGGACAATGATTGCGCCGTGCCATGTGTGGCGGGGTCTGATGGTGCATCCATACTTCAGAACAGTCAAATCATTGGGAGCTCTTCTTAGATTGGTCATATAACGCTTGACGAAGGGATACATGCAGTCCTTCACACCACGCCGCTCAACGCGCGAGCGAGTCGCCGAACATTCTTGGTGATGATGTGTCGGTCATATGATTCTCAGGCCCAAAACCATGGAGCCTATGCAGTAGATGCGCGGGCATTCATAGAGGAATGCCAGCGATGCCTGTCAAGTAGATGGTGGTGGTCGCCTTCTGAGCTCTCGATCGCATCCAAACTGCCACCTCCGGCGCTCAACGCGTGACGTCACGCGCGAATGCTCTCCACGAAATCCGGTATTCGAACAGGTTGAACTGCATCCACCACGACGACGGCATATAATCGGAACAAAGCAGCAAATAAGTTAGGTGCGTGCAATGGTGTATAACATGAAGGGCGTTTGCGCTGAATATGTTTAATAGGCGTCTATCAATGCCATGAGCTCATCTATCTGTCGTGAAAGTGCTCCCTGTACATGAACGCGTCGCTCGACTTGGGTGCCGACCGGTGACCTCTGGCCGGACGCCGCCGAATCCGATGCTTCAGCTGTACCGCCGGGCTCATACTCAGACGTATCGTCGGGTATCGGCGGCAGAGACTTCGCATTGCGCACCAGCGCTCGTCGCGGTGCCGATGGCGCCGACACGGTCCGAGCGCGTGTCCGCGCGTGCACCCGACCTTGTGTCCCCTTCCTCTGCGCGCTCGGCAAGGATGGTGCACTTGGAGCATCCTTTTCCATGGGCAACGTCGGCCGATGATCCGTGTCCGCTCGACTGCGCATATCCCGAGCCCAGTGTTCATACTCCGGACGCTTCAAGTCCTGCGAAGAACCCATATACGCTGAAACGTCATCGACATCACCCGGGACTGGTTTGCGCGGCTCCAGGAATGAAGATCCATCGCGCGCAAATGGGTCAGACTCTACTGCCACTTCCCCACTGCCATGCATAGACGACAGCCGCGACGCATCGAGCGATGCAGAGACACTCCTCGACTCGGCCGACGATGCTAGTGAGACTGGGCGAGAAGCTCCGAAAGAGTTTCTTTCGAACCCGAGGCCGAGGAGACTCCGTCGTCGTCTGAGGGAGACCAAACCTGCCTCCAGCGTGACCAAACTGTTGTCCAAGTTTTCGCCGTCGTCGTGCGGCAAAGTCTTCCCGAAAGGTGGATCGGTTTCACGGCGAAAGTACGAGGACACTGTGAGGCGCAAAGGCGATGGAGGGGGCGAATGAAACGAGTGCGAGGTTGTTGATGGACTGGGGGTGCTCGGGGACGAGTTTCCATGCGAAGTGGAGCTCGAGGGCGATCGCGAGAGGCCGGGAGATGCGGGAACGAGAGTTTCCTCACTAGGGTCTCCCATCGAATATAGTGAGGGGGCTACTCGTGTCGTTGAGTTTGCTGAATGACGAGGAGACGACATTACAGAGCTCACCTTCATACAACTTCCATCTCAGCGGTGGTGGCCTCTTACGATTCCGAGTCGTTCGGGTGGGCCTCGGGCAGCAAGACTCTTCTGCGTTAGGTTTGTCGCGGGGGAACACGATCTCAGGATAGGAAGATATGAGGTTAACGATACTCTTCTTCGAGCGCAGCGTAAACGGCTTCGTCTCGCGAGTCTCCTGGACAGCGCGACGACGCGGGCGCAGCAGGTCGGACAGAAAGTCAATGCGGGGCATGGTATCGGCCAGTCTCTGACATCTGCCACTCCCTCCGCGTTATGTGCGCGGCGTAACGCGCTTCCGCCTGCCTATGGAAGGCTCAGGTGCTCTGCTATGAGCGGTTGAATGTGCAGATCGAAGAGTTCAGACCCATCGACAAGGGACGGGAGCGCTTACGCGAAGATCCAATGGACGCAATGATGCTCTTGGCGCGGGGGCAGTCACAATCCTGATGCGGAGTATTGCGGTCTTATACACACACAAGCGCATATGCTCGAGCGTATATGCGCTTCGCTATGGGAACTTTCTTGGTTAGTAGTGAGAGAAGTTCCCTCTGGCATAGCTTTGCTGATCACTGAAGTCTAGGTGCTTTGGCGCTTCGGAGACACCTTGAAGAGAGCGAACAGACGCGAATTTGTTAACCGACGGACAGCTCCGAACAGTAACAGTCAAGACGTGCATAACAAGACCGCGGCAATTAACCATAGGATCTTCGGAACAATGTATGTACCTCGGATCGCTACCGCAACAGGAAGAATCACACGCTCGGTAAGAGCCCTTAACGTGAACTTCGCGCGCCAGTCAAGCCTCCGGATACGCCATTGCGTACGACATCCCCCGGTACATGGCGATCGTGCAGCGCGAAAACAACGTTTCTCGAACCGAGGTCGTCCTCGGAGCGGGTCGCTCGCTACGCATCCGAAGTGCCCGGGACACGAGGAATGCACGCGCAAGAACTAGTAACGTTGGATCAGAAGATATGCTGGTGGCTATGGTGCTCTGACTGACTGATGTATTAACCGAGGCTGATTGACGCGTTCGCAGTCGTGATATCAACGAGTGACGGATCTGAGTGGGCAAGGCGACGTCGCGCCCGCATGCGCATGCGCGCGTCCACAGAGCGACACTAGACCGCGTGCGGTCTGCGTGCTAAAGAGCGGATGACCCGACGAAGATAACCGTACTTCAAACTGGTCTCTGGTAAGTCTTTCCTGTGGAAAGATCGAGGCTAGTCATGGGAGCCATGTGCCGTTAAGCGCGGTGAATGCAGTCAAGAACTGCACGACCAGGAAGAAGCTCCTAAGGACTGATTCTAACGTTCTTAAATCCGAGAACAGCTGCTTTTACTCGATCGCAAAAGGTGAAGGAGAGCCTGGTACCGATCGAGTGTGAGGCAGATGATGGTGTGGAGGGATGGACACACATGCAGAAGGGACCATATGCAGTATTGCATCTGGTTATTGCATTATATTCACTACCGAATGCGGTCCAATCTTGTAACAAATGATACCGGAGTGCATGGGACGCAAACCAGGTCTGACTTGTATAACTACGCACGGGCCACAATCGGAGATCATAACTATAACGGTGTTCTTTGGGACCACGCTGCTTGTGGACTATACTGCTTCGCACAGTACTCGAGGTAGATGACAAGGGGAAGGGTAGCCTGCATACTGGCTTATGGGTCCAGCCACTTTCGCTCTAGTGTAGGCAGGTTGACATTCCGACTGACGGCGCAGACAGGGACCTGGTTGTGCCTGCCTTGCTGCTGCCGTGCCCTGGGCGATGTAGACTGTCTAAGCCTGCCTAAGCCAAAGTTCTCCCATATGGGATCCGCTATAGAGTGCGATAGCACGTACTCACTCCATGACGGGGATCATAATCTGTTCGGCGTCACCTTGTGTTGGGCACAGGCGTAACACACGAGTTTTTCGGTCCAATGCGATGTCCGGGGAAGCGGGAAGTGCTCGGCCGTGCACGTACGATGCATCCTTGCGCAAAACGGCTGTATACAGCGCCAGCGGCACATTCTTGAGACTGAGAGGGAAGGGCTTCGAAATTTGAGGCTTGAGAGAAGTGGTTGCAATGTATCTGTCGCGTCTGGTTGGGTACAAGGTGCCTTTGCGAGAGTACAATCAAGGTCTCATTCGACGACTTAGCTCGACTCTAAGGGCCTGGATACCCAGCAGAATGTCTCAGTCGCACGCAGAACACTCATATCGGGGCCACACTCAATCTCGGTGGTCACGGTGAGATCCAGGGCTGACCGGGACTACTGCCAGCCTTATACGCCGTGTCCTTGCTCGATCGGTTCAATGGCCATATTCAAAGCCCGCTGAGTACACGTCAGACCATTGAATGTGACCTATTCAGAAGGGTGAAGGCGTGGATACGTACAACTTTCCGAGTTCTCGAACAAAGAGGGAGGGGTATCCCCAGAACCAGGATTTTGCTACTAATCTGGTGTCGCGGCTAGCCACCCCGCGGCTTGCACCGTTGCAGGCCGTCGGAGCATCAGACAGGGTTTTGCATATGCCAGCGGTCTTCGCGGTGTCTAGTGTTCGTAGTGGTGTGGGGGCCGCAAAGGTGTTTACCTGAGCGCAGCCTGTCGATGCGGATCCGATGAAGAAGTCGTTGAACGTGTCGAACCAGGAGGCTTGTGGCTCTCAGACTCGGGCGGCCGGCAGGGCACGAAGGCGGGACGGACAAACGTAGTTCCGAGCATTACAGTAAAGTCTGCAAGGTACGGCGTCCTACGGACGGAGGGTCGGGAGGAAAGAGGCAAGGTTGAGCTGAAGCATAGGCACGCGCAGGGCATCAGCGCCAAGAGATCGGCACAGAGCTGCTCGTCGTGGGGCAACTTCTCGAGAGGATCCACCCCGATCAAAAATTCCCACAATGGTAGAATTTTCTCATGACTTTAGAAGCGCATACGCTTTGAGGGCGCGGTCGACAAACAGCCGCGAGGAAGTAGCAGGGCTCGTTATTATATACAGCCTTCAGCCATGATCTCAGCACATCCTCTCACCGCCCATCTGAGCTTTCCCTTGCTCATTTATATCCAGCGCTGCTCTTCTCTCGAAACGCAGATCACAAAAGATGTTCGCTACACCCCGCTACGCCGACTATCCCGCCGCCACTCCCGGCACCGCATCCTACTCGGGCGGACAGTGGATCGACGACCGTAGCAATCATCATCCTCAATGGCAATCTGAGCATGCACTCGCCGCCGGCACTGGATCGGCATCAACTTATCCCTCTCTCGCCCCCAGCGCTCAAGACAATGCTTCCATACAACCCGCCGACACTTACACAGACTACTCGTACCCGTCGTACTTCCCGGATCGGGCTGCTGTGTTTCCGTCTACATCCTCTGCGTCGCTGAACAATTGGACATCGTCGCATACATCCAACTATCATTACTACACTTCGGCATCCGGCTCTGAGTCCTCGAACACCAGCTCGCCGCTGCAGAGTAACGCCTCGGCCACGAGCTCACTACCATCGTCCCCCGCGAGTGGATACGGTCAACACAGCGAGCTGTCTGCATTCAGCAGCCCTACACCGTTGTCCTCCGCATACGCCCGGACGTACACCCTGCAAACTTCGCCGCCGCCACAGCCTCGGGCGCAGCACCGCGTACGCACCGGGTCCTCGAAATCAAAACCCGACTCAACTGTACACGCCTTCAGCCTCACGACCTTGGAGCCCCTCGACGCATCCGACGACCCATACCCGGTCTCGATGACCGACCTCATGCGCAACCGTGAGGATTTCGATTACGGAGGGCTTTCATATCGCTTCGCGCTGCCGAACTCAGTCGCCGCGGCTGCGGTCGCAAATGGGTCGACCTTGAGTAGCGGCCGGTGCACGCCGATCAGTGACAACGACGTCCAGCGCGAGACGATGCGTCGTAGCCCGGAGAAGGACAAGCGCAAGCCCAAAGTCAAGCTTCACCCCTGCGAGGTTTGCGGAAAGGCTTTTCCGCGACCGTCCGGCTTGAAGACACACATGAACTCCCATTCCGGTGAAAAACGTACGTCCATTCGATTAATCTGAGAGATTGTGAGCATTTTCTGACACTGGCGCAACGTACACAGCCTTCCCATGCCCTGTGGCTGACTGCAACAAAACGTTCACCGTGCGCTCCAACGCGAAGCGCCATCTACGCACGCACGGCATCATCCCCGATGCGCCTTCCGTCACGAGCAACACGGGCACGATCGATTTTGACACGCCCGTCGTAGCGGAGGACATCGCCGAGGCGCACATTGACGGCCGCAAGATGCGTATTCGTTGGCACGGCGCGCGCCCGGCCGGCCGCGACCGTGATGAGCCGCTCCCGCGCAGTGTCCGCGGGACTGAGAAGGAGAGCCGGTCTACGTCCGCCACCAGCTCGACGCTCGCAGTACGTCGCCCAAATTTTGAGCCCAAGGCATCATGATATTGACTTTGCGCCGCAGAGCCCTGTCCAGATTCCGGCCCAGCCCCCGACCCCGCCGCCTGCGCCTCGTGCGACTCGCCAGTCCGCGCCTAGCATCAGCTACGCGCTCGGCACTCCAAACTACCTGTAACGGCAACGCATACACGCTACCCCTTTAGACAACCTCAAGCTCTCGATGTTCTGCTATCCACTCACCTGCTTGCTGCTCTCGAAACCATGCTTTGGTATAACATTGTCCTGTCTCGGTCTTCATTACTATTTGCCTGGCCTCCTGTTAACATCATCTCTCATTTCCTAACCAACAAGTCTCATCGCTACTCCTCATACTAGGATCGTGTCCACCATGCACACTATGTTGTACATACCATGTAGCGCCTTCTGTACATACCCACTTTACGACCGCCCGGTGTCCGGCAATAGGCTGGGGACCGGGCCATTCACGATGTCTGCTCATCTGTAGATACTCAAAAAATGGCATCAATAGCGACTTCTCTTTAACTTACACGCGTGATGTGGCCCCCTGCGAATAGGCGCGATGAACCCCTGCAAAGGCATATTACTCGACTTGTCAGTGCAGTTGGACGTAGTTCACGTACTAGCTTCATCTCCCTTGACGCAACTGGACGCAACACCCCATTCGTGCGAGAGAAGCACTACACGAGTTATCCACCCTAAAACATCATCGTACCTGTGCCCTTGCTTCCCGATGGCTATATCGAGTACATGATGGTGCTGTGAGAACGGTGAAGTCGGTGGCGTCGGCGTGTTGGATGTTGCGGCACTTGCCGTAGGCCTGCAACAGGCAGCGACAGGGACCCACATATGACGGCGAAGGCAGCAGTGACAGTCATCGCACACGATACACGCGCGTGGCCTTCTCTTCGCACCCATCCCAGCCTTCTCTCCTTCTCCCCATCTTTCATCCCACGTAATGGTCCAAGCGACCCATGCACGCATTCGACACATTGACGTCTGGTCGGAACTTCGACGCATACGCTCGATAGCGACCGGATGAGAAAAAATATACATTTTTCACAGATGATGGTGATAAACAGACGAGAGAAGGCAGCGGGTGGGTACTCAGTACAAGCAAAGCGATATAGAGAACGGCCCGGCTTCGCGCGCGGGCACACGTATAGACGGTTAGCGAAACGCGCGGGGCGGGAGAAGATCGATGAGGACAAGCAAGATAGCACGACGGGCGCGCGCAACTAGGCACAGGCGCCGTCTTGAATGTGTCTACCGACTAAGCACCAGCTTAGACGGGGGTGTAGTTCCCTGTCAACAAGTATGAGCAAGAGTCATCGCGTGAAAATCAAGTCGATAGACGCACATATTCGAGCAGCCCAGTCGCCGGATCCAGTAGCGAGGAGGCTCGTCGCGGGACTCAGATCGATGCTGATGACCGAGTTCTTGTGTCCCTGGAGCATAAGCTGGACCGTTGCCGTGCGCGAGTCCCAGAACTGCACGCCGCGATCTTTGCTGCCACTGACGACCCATTTGCCGTCGTGAGAGACGGCGACGGAAAGAACGTAGTCCTTGTGACCCGTGAAGTTCATTCCGCACAGATCCTTGTCAACGAGCTTCTTCCCGCTCGGCGGTGGCCCCATACCGACTTGACGCACGTCCCAGTACTTGAGCGTCTTATCCAACGAACCCGAGATGAGGCCTTGCCCGTCAGGTGTGAAAGCGACCGAGTAGACAGAGTCCTTGTGCCCGCGCAAACGTTCGATCAGCGCGCCCGTCGCGACGTCCCAGATGCGAACGATCGTGTCGAGCGAGCCAGCGGCGACGAGGCGCGCATCAGGTGAGATCGCGACGGACGTTACGCCTGAGTCGACCGTTTCGGGCTCGTGGATGGCGAGAACCTATGCGGAGTTTAGGATATTAGACCATAGCGACTGCTGATAGAAAGACGTGGAGCGAACCTTGTGGGTGCCGTCACCGAGATTCCAGATACGCGCGGTACGGTCGCCCGAGCCAGAGACGATGAGCATACCATCGCGGGAGAAATCTAGACTATAGATCTCCTGAGTGTGGCCCTCGAAGGTGCTGCGGATACGGCGCGTCTTGATTTCCCAAATCTGGCAGGACACGAGTGAGCAATGCAGTTTCATAGATGGGTCTGATAGATGGCACACGCACGCGGATGACCTTGTCCTCTGCACCCGTAGCAAGGTACTTCCCGTCAGGGCTAAAGCAGACAGAGCGAATGTATAGGTCGCCAGTCTTGGGCGCGTTGGGGTCCACCAGTACGCTGCATTATCATAACCTTGAGTATGAGAGACGCTCCCACTCGTCATACAGGACGTACCAGGTCTTCACGCCTGTGGCTGTATCGTAGATTTGCGCGCTACGGTTGCAACCAGTGGCCAAGTATTTGCCGTCGGCAGAGAAACGCACACAGCAGACGACGCTCTCGTGCATGAGGGTATGCACGAGGCTAATGCCTAGCGAACGCTTGACCTTAGGGTTAAAGACGGCGAACCAGTCTGAGCCTTCGACCTTCATTTCCGACGGGGCTGTGTGGGGATCGATCTCGTCGAGGAATGAGTTGAGTGGGTTGTACTCTGCGAGTGCGCCGTTGCCGATCGGCACCTCCTGCGAGCCTGGCGGCAAAGGCAAAGCGGGTGCATAAGCGGGAGCCTGTTTGCCCTGGCTAGGCGGCGGAGGGAGCTGTCCAGACGGGCCGCCCTGTGCGGACGCCGGTGGCAGATAGGGTGAATACTCTGTCAAAATAGACGTCAGCTGCCGTGCGAGGTGGTGCTGATGGATTGGAATGCAAAGAAGGGATAGAGTGCACGCGCCACCCGCGTGTAAACGTGTTGTTCGCTTTCGACGCTTTACCCTTTTGTGCCTCTGTTTCCACAACACAAACCAACGCCCACATCATATTACGTACGCAACGCGCAAGTACAGACTCAAGGATGCCAACCGGACATGGAGGACGAAGGCCTGCGAGACTCACCGGTGCGGTCAGGTTTAATGCGGTCACGGTCCGTCTTGATGCGTTTGGGCTCGCGCTGGTCGCGCTCACGGTCGCGTTCGCGGTCAACGATCATCCGATCGCGGTCGGCCACTCGGGCGTCCCGTTGCACATACACCTCCTGCGCCGCGTACTGTGGCCCTGGCGGCGGTGGGCCTCCCATCTCGCGCGCCTGCCGCAACTCGGCCCGGAGCCGCGTCAACTCGTTCTCGTAGTCCGCTCGCACCTTCTGGTGCTGGGCCTCGAGCTCATACAGCGCCTGGCGGATAATGTTCACTTCGTTCACCTGCGAGGAGACTGATTGGCCGCCGTCAGATACCGGCTCGGGTGTGATATTATGAAGAGAGGGACACACTCTTTGCCTCGTACTCCTCGCGTTGTGGACGCAATATCTGCATCTCCCCATGTAGGACGTCAAACTCGTGGCGGAGGGAGTCCAGAGCGGCGTCTACGCGCTGGGCAGCCGAGGACTGCGGGCCGGGCGGGCCCGAGGGCTGGAGTGTCCTATGCTGGGTGTACTGTGAGTATAATATGCGAATAAACCTGGTGGCGGGACCGACTGCGTAGATACTGGACATAGCCTTGTCGACGTCGTGGAAGAGGGAAGGCGGCCACCTGAACGACGACCCCGGCTTCGAATCCGTCAGAGGCCCACGCTCTGTCTCTTAGCCGCCGCGCCCCCATCAAGATCCAATCGGGCCCTGCTCACACGCTCACACTCCCGCGCGCGGCCTTTCGGCTGTTCCTGATATTGATCCCGTCGCTGACGTCTGGCGGTCCCTGCAGGTCCGCCCAATGGGTGTCACGATGACCCGTCTCGGCCTCGGGCGAGCCGCGGGATTGGCAGCAGAATAAGGTTCCGTGAACAACTGAACATTAGGCTACGTTCTGCATCGGCGTCCACCACTGTCTATACTCCGTATTCAGGCGCTGGACATATGTGTCAACTGTCGTTTCGGCGACTACGTGAAGCGGAACAGAACGACCAAAGAACGACTACAGCATGTGAACGCGAACACAACTGATGCTTTCGGTGACTTGAAGG